TCTTTCAATTTTTAAATAAGAACTTAAAAAAATTGTTTTAAAATAAGACAAAAAGATAACATTTTGTTCAGTAATCTTAAATCATAATGTCACGGCTCCTATATTTTTTTTTCAAATTTATATTTAAATATGTTAGACACATCGTACCTATAGGTTTCGTACAGGCATCTTTCTAGCTTGCTCGACAATCATCGCCAACGTCCATACCACGCTGAAAATACCAGAGCGCCACGAGCCGCCAACCAAGTCGCACGTGTCGCAGTAGTTACGAACCTAAAAAACTCAGAGAAAGCTTATTTCAATTCACCAACTAGCAAACATACGGTGAAACAACACCAGGGTGGACCTTACAGAGACGCCCGACGGAGCCGAGCAGGCGAATAAGGAAGGCAATAGCCAAAAGGATGAAAATCCGCGAACTCAGAGCGAGGTAACCTCACAAACTTACCTCGCGCAAAGCAATAATATAAAAAATCTGGAGAGACTTCTAAAAGACCCAAACTCTCAGACGAAAATAGCTGCATTTTTTAATAAACAAAAAATGACAAAAGCTAAAAAGTCTTCGAACCAACCTAACCTTAACTCACAGGGCAGGAAGAAAATAACACAGTTCAATGACGCAGAAACAAGTCAAAGCTCCACGCCAGATGCAATTCTACAGGAAAGCCTTTCCCTGAAGAAAGAAATAGCAGAATTAAAATGCATAATTCAAAATCTGGAAAAAGAACAACAAAACATAAAAAACGAACAATCATCGGTAGAACAAAGGACTCATCCTACACCGAGACCCGAAAAATACACAGCAAGAGATGAAACAACACAAACTTCAGAAACAGACGACATGCAACTTGCAGAAGAAGAAGACCCTTTCATTGAAAAACTTAAGTACGAGAACATAAGGAAAAGAAAAACCGACAGCAGGGAGCACGAAACAGCACAAGACACCGGAGGGAAAAGATCTTCAACTCAAAAAACATACAATAAGACAGCAAGCTCGCCGGAATCAGCAGATAGACAGATATCAGCACAGAGGGAAGTCACCACACCTAAACTTCACATGAAAACCAAGCCACCATCTATCAATATAATGTATCAAGACCCGAAAGATACCATAGAATTATTAAAAAGTAAGTTAAACATAGAACACTTCTCAATTAAAAGAATCAGCAATAACAAACACCTAGCTTTATTAGAAAACACAAACGACTTCACGAAAACCAAAGAACTACTAACAAAAACAAACACAAATTACTACACGTACACAGCAAAGTCAAACAAAAATCACACTTACTTACTAAAAGGTATTAATCAGTCCTATACAGAGGAGGAAATACTATCAGAATTACACAGACATAATTATGAAAATATTAAATTCATTAAAGCAAGCAGATTCTCCACAAAGCGATCAATACAGAATAAAATCATTTTACCAATATTCCTAGTAACAATAGAAGCAAATAGCAACCTTGATATGTTAAAAGAAATTAAATACATAGATTACAACGTAATACACTGGGAAAGACTGAAAAAAAAGGAAACCATACAGTGCAAAAAATGCCAAAGAATCGGGCATGCGGCAATAAATTGTAACATGTCATACAGATGCGTAAAATGCAAAAGTAACCATGATCCAGATAAATGCGACTCAATCATCAAAAAAACGCTGAAAATACCAGTTCTCGTCCGATCACTGCAGTCAAGCAGCGTTGGGCACGGTCAGTACTTGGATGGGTGACCACTTGGGAACACCGTGTGATGTTGGCATCATTTTTTTTTTCAATTTTTAAATGAGAATTTTTTAGTTTTCAAGAAAGAGAGCAAGTGTCATCGTCAACGTCCATACCACGCTGAAAATACCAGTTCTCGTCCGATCACTGCAGTCAAGCAGCGTTGGGCACGATTAGTACTTGGATGGGTGACCACTTGGGAACACCGTATGATGTTGTCATCATTTTTTTTCATTTCTCTTTCAATTTTTAAATAAGAACTTAAAAAAATTGTTTTAAAATAAGACGGAAAGATAACATTTTGTTCAGTAATCTTAAATCATGTCACGGCTCCTATATTTTTATTTTCAAATTTAAATATGTTAGACACATCGTACCTATAGGTTTCGTACAGGCATCCTTCTAGCTTGCTCAACAATCATCGCCAACGTCCATACTACGCTGAAAATACCAGTTCTCGTCCGATCACTGCAGTCAAGCAGCGTTGGGCACGGTTAGTACTTGGATGGGTGACCACTTGGGAACACCGTGTGATGTTGGCATCACTTTTTTTTTTCTTTTTTAACTTCTCAAATTTTGGAGGTGAGTTATTTGGAAGAAAACTAATTGTCACGTAGATATTAATAAGTCTTCTTGTGATTATCCGCTCGTTATCTAAGATTATTTTCACAGCTCTAATCCGGTGTTCTTCACTAGGTTTATAAGGATGTTCGCTCTCGTATCGTCCAGATAGGTTCAAAGATCACTCGACTTATTACCTTGCATCTTTTACAAGTGTGCACGTGGTATAACTATACATAAATTCTACCCCCTTTTCCTTTCCCGCATAGTTGGCATTTTTGATAGTTATCTATTTTTTCAAGTTAATAATAAAGATCCCTGAGAACTACGAGAACTACGTTGTCGATAAACCAATATTACCTCTCCCCGTTTCTAACCTTTCTATATGCCGAATTATTCGCTTTACTTGATGAAGGTTGTTTCGTTAACAGCTTGGACCGTCGACAACTTAACCTCCGTCGGTTCCTCATATGGTCAGATACAACCGCTTCAGATAGCTTCTAATGATATTTTCACCAGTACCAACGGGAAGATTAAAATCTACATACAAAAATAATTATATGTGAATCATGTAAATTATTTTCAAACGAAATATGTGGTTCCTCTACGTCTTCTGTTAAATAACTTACCTTCAAAATTTTAAAGAAGTAAAAAAAAATGATGCCAACATCACACGGTGTTCCCAAGTGGTCACCCATCCAAGTACTAACCGTGCCCAACGCTGCTTGACTTCAGTGATCAGACGAGAACTGGTACTTTCAGCGTGGTATGGACGTTGGCAACAATAGCCAGCTAATTTGAGGAACATTTCCATATGAAACCTATCGATAGGACGTCTCTAATATCTTAAAACAAATTCGATATAATTTAATAATGTGACAAATACTCGCCGATTATGATTTAGTATTAGTAATAATAATTAAAAAAAAAGCTGTGGTGCCTCTGTCTTTTATTATTACATAGATCAACAAATTTCCATGTGACTAATTGCTGGTTACCTGAGATTAGTTTAGTAGCCCTAATCTGTTGTCCTTCGCCAAGCTTAAAAGGCTATTTACATCCTTCAAGACTTTTAGGTACATAATATATATAGATGCTGTCTTCTTTTTCCCCTTGGCATAACCGACTTTGTCTCCTCAATTATTTTGAAGTTACAAAGGTGAACCCTGTGAGCTGCGTGTCTTGTCGATCGATATATTCACGTCTTTAACCTTCCTTTATTCATCGTCAAAAGATCATACCGTAAGGTGTGCTTGGTGAGCATTATTTCATCTATAGGATAAATTGTCGGCAACTTAGGCTATGTTCGTTTCGAACGTTTCCCTGATGAAAGCATCGTTCTATTTCCCTTCAACATGTAACGACCAATAAAGATAGAATAACGATCTTAGCACGAAAGCAAATCCGGAATGACTTTAACCTTAACCTCAGTCTATCTTCCATACGGACGAATGCTCTCGTTCCGCCAAATAACTCCCGATGATACTTTCATCGATAACAAAGGGAAAATTGAAATCAATATGCAAAAATAAATTCACGTACGAGCTACGATGTGTGATCTGATAAATCGCTTGAAACAAAGAAACCTCATTTCTCCGTCCTCTTCGAGAAGATTCTCGTTCCGAGATTGATAAATTGTAGGAGCAAAAAAAAAGTGATGCCAACATCAACACGGTGTTCCCAAGTGGTCAACCATCCAAGTACTGTCCGTGCCCAACGCTGCTTGACTTCAGTGATCAGACGAGAACTGGTATTCTCAGCGTGGTATGGACGTTGGCGATGATTACTACGCAGTTAGAAAAGTATTTACGCGTGAAAAATCCGTAATATGACATACCGAATATATACTTTTGCTTTGTACATCCTCATATTTCCCTTGCACGCGGCACCATTCGCGCCAAATGAAGTCCGAAACGCAGTGGTAGTAGTGATAGTAGTGCTCAATAAACATTACCGACTCTGATGCGGACCCGACGTTACCGTTGCGCAAGATTCCTTTCCATCGCTATTCATACCGCGTTCGTGAGTGCCGCCCTCTTTGTTCGATGTAAACGCGGCGCAGGCGAGGCCGGCGAGGCGTCTGGATTGGAGACGCCGTCGGGGACGGGCATGCTTTCTGTGCATTGTGAACCCCGGTTGATGCGCTTCGCTATCGATTGCAGGACGGTGTGCGAGTCCCGATACATCGCATCGTTTTTTCCCACCGTTGGCCCGTTCGTCGCGTTTTGGGCGAGCGATCAGCGAGCGCGATATCGCCGGTGGAGCCGCGAGGAACGTGTAAGACAGGACCGGGAGGGCGAGGAGAGAGAGCGCGCGCGACGAGGAGCTTCCGGGACGAGCGGCGACGCAACGGTGAGTAAGCGAGCGCACGGCGTCCTACCGGCCGTTCGAAACGTTTCGAAATCTCTTGGCGCGTAAACCGGCCTCCTCATCCTCGCGCGCGTCCGCCGAGAGACGATCTCGTCGGCGGTCGCGCGCGCGTCCTCCTCCCTCGCGAGAGCACGTCTCGCGGAGTCTCGCGAGAGCCGATTTGAACGCGGCACGCCAAAATGGTGGCGTCCTGCGTGCTCGCGCGTCGGACGCGTACCTTCGCACCGCGCCTCGGCGCGAGGATGAAAAAAACCACCGCCATTGCGTGTCGCGCGCTCTGACGTACGCACGCACGATTCGCCGCGAAACGCGGATCCCCCGCGTTCCGCGTGCTCGCGCTCGAGAATAACGCTCTTTCCTCGTCTCTTCAGCGTGGCCGCCGACTGCGTGGCAAAACTCGGGGGTGTTTTGCTCCGCCGGCCAGATAATTCGCTCGAGTCTGCACCGGCACACTGCGGTTTTCTCTTTTCGTAAAAAAACATTACGAAAAATAAATAAATATACGATAGAATGTTTTATAAATGTATGTATAAAATAATGTATGAAATTGGATAAACCTTTAAGATCTGAAGCATTTTATCCTACTTTGTGCACAAAAGTGCACAGGCTTTTCTCACCCAAAACCATCTTGAAATCTTCGAGAGAAATCTTGAGAAAAATTTCCGAGTTCATACGATTCCCACCCGGTCGGCGCGTTTAATTTCAGCTATATAACTTCAAGTGTCCAACGATAACTTTACATCGATGTTATAATCTCGTATTGTACAATGTGACTGCGATGTAGTGCATGTGCGTGTATAGAAATATGTACGCACGCAACTGTAACGTAACACGTATATGTACTAATATCGACAATGGCAATGTGAAATTATTGTTACATTTGAAGTTACATTATTGTAATTAAACCGGGCAGAAATGTGTCAATCACAGTTGTAACGATTGATGAGTGTTAAAAATAGTGTAACCGAGATGTTACGTAAATATATTTAACTTACACCACCAAGTGAAATTCCAAATGCCAATGTTCCACTACGCCTTGAAGATCCATATATATATTATAATACTAAAATTCCGTCTCCTTTCAGGAACAAGATGACGCCCGAGGGATACACACGGGTGTACGTGGGTGGGTTGAACGAGAGCATCAAGAAGGAAGACCTGCAGATGGAGTTTGAGAAGTACGGCAAGCTGAACAAGGTTTGGGTGGCCTTCAATCCGCCTGGCTTCGCCTTCATCGAGTTCTTCAACATGAACGAGGCCGAATTGGCGTGCTGCAACATGAACGGCATGGAGATAATGGGTGCAAAATTGAGAGTGGAGATTTCACGGGGTAGAGGTCGCGGTGGCGGCAGCAGGGGCAGTACGGGTAGTTTCCGCGGTGGTCGCGGGGTCGGTGGTAGGGAATTCGGCACACGGGGCGGTACTAGCGTGGGTTACAGAGGAAGCAATACTTACGGCGATTACGGAGGCAGCTATTATGCAGGCAGGGGTGGCGGTGCAAGTAGGGGCAGAGGTCGTTACGGAGAGGACTATATGTACAATCGCAGCGGCGGGTATGTTACACGAGACGGATATACTCAGGATGTCTACGGCGGTAGCGGCGGAGACACTGGCGCCGATTACTATACCGGGAAGGACACGAGCACTGCGAGGTATCGAAGCCGCTCACCGGCCGGCCGTGGCAGGTATTAACGACCAATCCATACCATGATAAAAAAAAAAAGCCTGAACCTTTTTTCCAACTCGCGTCACGATTACCTCGGCACGAGCTCGGTGCTTCGTCGATTTTCGGGGTGATATCTTCGGGTGCTACGACTGTACATACATAAACGATACATCTGTGATACATATATACATATCGGGTGAAGCGAGTAGTTTGTGTAGTTTCGTCGAATGCCCGTGTACAACGTGAGTTAGAGTTCTAGTGCGGTGTCGTTTGCGCTCATGCAACCGGACACCGGGAGATAATTAATTGGAAATTCGTAAAGATCTTTCGTCTGCCTCGGGGAAGAAAGTGTGTCTTCGACGACGAGAGGAAAAGGGGGAAATTTTTCACGACGACGGTACGAGACGAGAGATTCGAGGGTATTCGCAGTTACGAGTTAAAAAAAGGATCGAATCGTTCGCGAAATGAGAACGCCGTGAGATCGACGAGCGTCTGATAAAGCGAATTTGTCTACCTCGAGGCGAAGCCTGAGCTAAATTGTAAACGCGCGGGAAACGTATCTCACCGCGGGAGTAAATGTAAAATGTCGATGTTGTCGGGCCTGTTCTTACTCTCTATTCACGATCCACGGATTAAACACGGATTAAACACGGATTAAACACGCGCGAGCAACGTTTGCTGCATTGTTGGCCCGATACACAGGGGCGTTAAAGATAAAGAAAACGGATTAAAAAAAAAAAGAAAAAAAAGTAAAAGGAGAGTTTCAAGTGCATGAGCACCTAGTGCTGGGTTATCGAGGTGTATACGGCGAGTTAATTTCTCTCTTTGCATGCACGTTAAATATGTAAAGTTAAATAATAACGCCGGCTCTCAGCTTCGGTGGGAGTCGTTAAAGAAGGGGGCGACAAAAGTAATGTGACATCCTCTGTTTTGCACTTCCATGTTCACAGTCATCGTCATCTACGTGAATGCACATAAAAGAACTACGCTGCGTTGCCAATCTGAACTGCGGGCCGATCACAGCCACCCGCCTCGACGACTTCATTTCTGTCCAATCTACACAGCGACCTGTATATAGACAAGAACTATCATTGCGGTTTATGCTGTGCATATTATTTTTCCTCGCATTGTTGAGACCACTTTACACACAAATACACGAATACACACACACACACATACACATACTGTGGTCGTATCCAAGGGGGACACTTTCTATGATCAACTCGGAAGCCACGATAGACTCGAGAAACGAAAGAATAAAAGAAAAGGAAGGAGAAAGTTCCCTCGAAAGAATGCTCTTCCGTTTGCAAAACGTGAGAAACACAGAGATATATATAGAGAGAGAGAGAAAGAGAGAGAAAGAGAAGGAGAGAGAGAGGGGGGGAGGAAGAGAATGAAAAATAAGGCGCAGTGATATATCGAATCACGGACTCAACGGACTCGAAAACAACACAGAGATCAATATCCGACGAAGTAATTGATTAATATAGGGCTGTAGTGTGTAGGGATTGTACTTCGCGACTTACCATTCTATTTTTAGCTAAAAAAGCGCACTCACACTCGTTTTAGATCTCTATTTCTATTTTAAAGATGTTTTTTTTTTTTTACTTCCTTCCATTTCTACTTTCTTCTCGCTGGACACGGTCTTCTTTTTTTTTCCTCTCTCAACCGTGACCGGAATTCTTGTGCTTTACGGTCACGTGACGTTCGAGATTATTTTAATAACCCGCACCAGACGTCGCGTCTAGCCTAGCAGCCTCGCAACCGGGGGATGTCGCTCTCGCGCGATTGCCGGCTTCGCGATGTCTGCGCGCGCGAGGTCGAGAATCGCCGGGCCAAACCCCGAAGACGAAACTGGATTCTTAAGGCGTACATGACGCGTATTACAATACCGACTATCGTACGGTACTGTACTTTACAGTTGTACATGTCTACTCGTTATTAAGTAACGGAGCGGAAAAAAGCGTAGCTCAGCTGGAACCAAACCAGCGAGGAAGCTTCTACTTTCTGCGATAATCAGTTTCGAGACACCAGTTACACATACGTTACACGACGGTCCCGTGGTGTGAATAATCTCTTATCGCGTATCTAGGTAGGAAGAAAACGAAAAAAAAAAAAGTAATAACGTGTGTGCTCGCTTATTATTCTATGAATAGTAACGATTTTATATGGAATCTCGGAGAGGAGATTATAAAATAAGGAGATCGCGCGCGCGTGAGAGAGAGAGAGAGGGAGAGAGAGAGACTTTAGCCAAATGCAAACTGCTGCTCGTATATGGAGAATCGATTTTTTATCGAATATATATATGCGGACAAGCAAACGTTTAAAAAAAACACACACACACACACACACAAGGCAGTCGTTTCGCTCCGGCGAGAAATTTCGACGCACATAACGCGTCGAGCATCGAAATTTTCGAGAACGAACCAAGAGGCAAAAATAAAAGAAAAAAATAAGAGGAAAAAAGCTCATGACCGTCGCGTTGTCGCATGCAATACATCTTCCGTGCTCTTTTCTTTTTCTCGTTTTGTTTTCTTCCGATGGATATATATATATTTTCTGACCAAAAAAAATTCTATATATATACATATATATATACAGAAACAGTGCTGCATTTGGACGAAAGAGAGGACACGTTTCCGGAGCGTACGCGTTACGCTCGCTAAATAAGAAAGTGATCAAATAAAAACGGTAATGATGTATATTACCACCTCTGTAAAAGATATGGAATTGGAAATTGAGATATTAAATGNCGCCCGCCCGCCTGTCTGCCTATCTGTCTGTCTGTCTATCTGACCATTTCTTTATTACATCGCGACCGATACTGTAACACGTCGTTTTTGTTCCGTCACTTCACGAGCGGATTTTTGTCGAGTGGTTTCATCGACGGCCTGCTGTGTCAGATCCCAGACAACACGTACGTCCCAAGGACGTCCTTTAGACGTTCTTATTGTCTAAATGACGTTTTTTCGACGTCTCTGTTATTTGGAGCGTTTCGAAGATCCTACGAACTTCGCAGGCCGGTGTCCTGGTGAACTTCGTCCTTTCGCGAGTATTATGGTTAGTGTCGGCCCTTTCACTTCCGTCCGTGTTTTACAATACCTTTGTAACATTTTGAGACAAGAATCCGTCGTGAAGAGGAAGCCCCTCGTGCAATCGGGAGCGTTGTTCGCTTCGCTCAGTAATGTGCGGAAGTTCGTTGTAAGTTAGCACAAAGCAAGCATCTGCGTAAGTATCCTGACAACGAAGAAGTTATTTTGTAATAATTAACGCTTTTTATCGCAATCATCTATCGGAGTCATTTAACGCTGGAAATTTCAAGATAGGCATTCGACGCGTCGTGACTTTCGCGAAAAGGGGGATCGCTAACTGAGCACTCGAGATTCGATTGCAACTGATAAATGTATAATCGACATAACATGAACGTACGTTCAGTAATTGAATGTCTCAATGATTAAAGTATTAACGATGTGCTTTTCTTTATTACGATGCTTGTCAATATACGGAACAATATGATAAATGAAGAGAAATGTTTAGTTAGTTTGGTTTCATCCATTGATGAGCATCTTAATAAACGCGTACGCATTATTAATGTTTCGATTATTGGGATGTTTACCTTATTTGTGACACTTCCAAGTTCGCACAACTAATCACACGTTTCTCCACATTTCTCGTATCCGAGTGAGCCGCGATTGGAAGGGATATCATCGAGTCGCAACTTGTTGTACATCTCTTGATGAACAAATGCATCGGGTGTGTTCAGTATTTTATTATCGATACATCTGTTGCTTCGTACAAAAAGGGTCAGGAAAAATTGAACGTTCGATCGAACTCGAGGGGTCGAGTGCTGCAAAGATCCGCGGGAAATGCGTTTTCCGGACGGTCGTCCTGGTTTGTCTTTTGCGCGCGTGTTGAGTGCCGAACGCGGAATGTATGTATGTCACACGAGAACGTAGGCTGTTTTTATTCCGGTTATTTCTCACGATACTAAACTCGCGAATCTATCACGTATCTTACACTTTATCTTATGGAGGCTAAGAGATTAGATCTTCGATCGGTGTTCTGAAAAAGAGCGCGGATCAGCTGCTTCACCTGCGGAGCGGTGAACTCCTGCGCCAACGGTCCTTTCCCGTTTCCCCACCTGACCTCGATCTCCTTCAGTGACGCGCCGAGTAGCTTGATCAGCTCCAAAAACTTGCCCCACTTGCGCACGTGTCGCTGAATCTTACTCGGATCCTACGAAAAACGAAGTCGAAGTGTGAATTAGTGTGCATGGCGATTGTGCGACTGACGGACCGGAATTAACGTTCTCATGATTGCATTTTTACAGGGAGTACCAGCTGGAGTACCGCTACGACTCTCGCACAACTCTGTCATATCTCGTGCAACACTTTCGTGTAATTTCGTGAGACTAAGCGATCAATAAAAAAAAAAAATACGTACACGTGCAAGAGTTAAATCGTACTTTCTGAAACTTATGTAACCCTTCTATGTGTATTCTCAAACCCGTATCAGACTAGAATTATAGTCAAGGATCGAAGATTATCTCAAACGCTTGTTATAATAATATTATTTGTATAATTGCTATGTATGTGTAAACGTACGTATATATTTTTCTTTTCTCATCTTCGTTTACGTGATTTATCTTTATGCATTTTTTTCTCTGATGTATCACGTCTTTTTATCTGCTATATACTATATATTCTTTTCTCTCCTTTTTTTTTATTGTCAAAAAAAATGGACCTGTTTACAAACATAGATATAGTCGTGTAACTGTATTTACCCCATCCCGTGTATTCTTCAAACATTGCACCATCTGATTATCACCTGTTCCGATCGAACATGCGCGTTTTAAGGTACACACACTTTCGAAACTTGGAAGAAATAAAAAAATTCATTAACGAATAGATTGCTTCAAGAAATGTCTTTTTTCTACCGTGGAATCCACTTATTGCCAGAAAGGTAGGAAATAGTTGTAACAAGGTGGAAAATATTTTGATTTAAATCAAAATGTACCCTTCTTTTTTTTTTTAATAAATACGTTTTTGATCCAAAACCCCTTAAAATTAATTGAGACCTCTAATAATATTGAAGCTTGACCACGAGAGCCAAAGTCAAACTTTAATCTTCAGTCCGCAATTTATTCCCAATATCGAAATTGATACGAGCTTGATATACATGACGTTCTTGATTCGATCACACTTACCGGGAATATTTGCGGCGTCCTCTTCACCACCACGTTGAACAGCACCACCAGTTCCCTCGCCACGTCGACCGGGATATCTTCGACGGAAATCACCTTCGTCACCAGATCGTCGATCATGGAATTCGTGATGCAACCTGTGACGCGCGTTGATGCGAGGAAAATGAAGATTAGAAACGTAACATGTCGGCGTACACCGTGAGAAGAGGTGAAGGGAAATGGATTCGACCTACCGACAGCCTTGCAGTAAACGTTTACGGGCAACACGTCCAGCCAAACTGTCTTCAGTAGTTCCAGCTGTCTGATGCATTGTCTCAGTGCGCGTTCGGTGCTGGGATGCAACTCGGGCGTTTGACCCAACGAAGTGAAACCTGAATGAGATCAACGCGCGAAAACAAACACGTCAATCACAAATCCATCCGAGATCGCAAAGCTGGCGGAGCTGAAGTCCTGAACGAACCTGAGTCCTTGATGATGTCGAAAATGATGTTCCTCTGGTACCTCATGTGCTCGAGGAAGCACCTTGAGCCGACGTCCCGCAGCACCGTGACTTGATCGGCGAATGTCAGGTTCAACCTCTGCAGGTTCTTCGAGAACTTGTTTCTGTAGTCGTGCGCCAGTGTGAGCAGGTGGTGGGCCAGGTACATGCAGTTGTTGTGAAACAAAGCTGCGAACATCAGTGCGAGCGATGACGAAGATTTCACGCTGACATCGGGATTCTAGCTATAGACAGCCAGCTGCATCGCCAGTGGCCTGCACCAGCATCTTACCGACTTGCTGCGGTATCGTGTCCAGGAACTTCCTGTGATGCTCCGGCACCAGCCCGGCGTACATCCCGAACACGTTCCTACAGGTGTAAAATAATCTAACGGCGCAAGCGTCCGAACTGTCGCGGGCCTCGTCCAGTATCGTCCTCGCTAATTCCAGCGTTTCCACCGCGCTTTTGCTGAAATGTGATTTTTTCCTATGAACGAATGTCCCTTTGAAGTCCAACAACTTTTTACTTAGAAACTCTTTGTGCGATTTTCCTCTCAAAACTACCTTGAAATCTCAGAGAGAAATCATAAAAAAGTTTTCTTTATGTGGGTCCCGCAGTTGTGATCGCTGAGTTGATAACTGAATGAGAAATAAAAGCTAGTGCCGGTGATTAGTTGCGAAATTAAAAGATTATTTGATTTACAATATTAAATGTTATATATTAAATATACACTAAAATAATATACCTTATCTGACATCTTGGCAATTGAAATGACATGTCGCTCAGCTTCTTTTCGATGGTCAACTCGCAATCCTCCTCGAACTCTCTACTTATGAATTTCGGCGGCTCCTGCGGCGTAAGAGAATAATTATATACTCCGTCTGTGTATCTCCTTCTCTTCTTTTTGTTTCTCATTTCTTTTTTATGTTGCCGAAAGTGTTACTCGTTCACAAATAAATAAATAAATAATTGAGAAGCTCTCGATGCTGCCTGCCACTGCCCAGTAAACATCGACCAACAATAACATTACGACAATGTTATAATTTCCTAATACAACGCATGTTTGTATTGAATTTACATTGTTGAGTGAGAAATTATAACATTGATATAATGCTGCCGTTAACTGTTTACTGGACTGGTTCTTACTTAGTAACGTCGATTGATTACCTGCGGCTCATATCGAACGGAGTCGTGTAAGTCCTTCTTGACGATATTTCGTGCTTTCATCAGCAGGTCCTGGCATATCCTGTCGATGAACAGTTTGTCAATATTGTTCGTGTATTCCGATAAGAATAGCTGGTCCTTGGAGAGGAACCCTGGAACATCAATCGTCGCTTTCAATCGCCACCTGTCCCTGTCTTCACCTCTCGAGCTTATAGTTAGAAGAAGTACCGATTTCCACCAGGTAGACCTGAAATTCGTTAATCGCCTCGACGACAGGCTCGAAGTTCTTCAGGTCGGCGTTGGAAGTCGGGATGGTGTGGGAGATACAGTCCGTCGTTAACGAGTGCGACAGCTGCTCCAGTAAGTGCGGCCGCATCCTCTTCAGGAAGGTCTCGTCGTCCGCGACCTTCAGGTTCAGGTGTTGGTGGAGGAACTTGAAGAGCAGCTGCAGGTTGTACAGCACACCTTTGTAGCATGGCGTCTTCTTTCTCTCCAGCACCTCGACGGTGAACACTTTCTCCATGACGACGTAGACCGAGCAGTGGTCGTGAATGACGGGGTTGATGATGTGCTCCATCAGCTTCGCGGAGAACGTCTGCAGCTCGTTCTCGAGATGGTCGACGATGTGCAGGCCTTGTATCAGCTCTTGTATGTCGTCGTGCTCGCTTTTGATGGTGAGCGAGGTGATCGTCTTGCCGGCGTCCTTCGCGTCGCTGCTCCAGCAGATCCGATCGCGCAACAACCTGGACACCTCCGTCAGGCACGAGCGGAAGAGCTCGCAGTACTCGTTCTTGATCGCGGTGTAGATCTCGAGGTCGTGCACGACGCTGCTGGGATTGTGCAGCAAGGTGTGCATCTGCAGCAGGGTCTTGGTGGTCTCGACGAATCGCCTCTCCTCCTGCAACTTCCTGATGGACTTCACGCACTCGTGCAGCTCTATCAGCTGGTGGGACAGCTGCAGGCTGACGTTTGACTCCTTCAACATCTGCGACAGGCTCTTCAGCTCCTTCGTCGAGCCTGACAGCTCTATTTTGACCTGTACACAATCAGATCAGGATTTCGTATTATTTGGTTTCACTCGACCTGAATCTTGGCAAGATTAGGAACACCGGTTACATACCTGATCGTTTATTCTGCTCTGCAAGATGCTCATCTCCTCCAGCAGCTGCTCGGTCTTCTTAACCAAGTGCACGTCCCTCATCAGCTTTGCACTGAACTCATCGTAATTCTCATCCATGAAATCCCTGACTTCATATTCCAGCCTCGTTATCTCCTTCTGTATATCCACGATATTTTTCTGAAGGCTCAGTTTCTCCAGTTTTCCTGCGTGGTGAAACGTCGATTGGTAGTTGTGAAAAAAAACTAACTTGGACTGGCAGATATTCTAACGTCAGAAATATGTTTAAAGATGTGTAATTTATAAACATACAATTATCTTTCTGGAGGAAAATTAGCTTTGTAACTCACTAAAGGTAATATAACAGAATTTAATCAATGTTGAGAATTAATTTGCACATGATTAACTTGCCTATCTTTTAAATAAACAATTGGCAACAAGTTGTGTATGTTACCTGCCGTGGCCAGTACATCTGCTACAAACGAAGTCATATTTCATGTGTACGATAAGCTCGCTGCAAGATCAAAGAATTTGTAACTTGTATTCCCCACTGCCAACTTCTTGTAGACGCAATCTGGTCGTTTCTTGTCTACGCGTCACGATCCATGTCTTCAAAACAGCTCCAGCATCCAAACATAACCTCAACCCAGTGCCGGTTAGAAATTCCCTCCCACACAATACCAGCTATCAATGCTAACTTTTTTCTTGGAAAAGCTGATTTTTTTAATTTGCTAATATTTGAACTGGGATACAGTAGCATTTATTCGGAGATCTGAAACATGAATATTCAAATCAAATGTTACATTTAACGGATAAATCGACGTTTGACTCCTTTTCCCGATATAAAGGATTGTTTATTTTAATATTTTCAAATTTAATTAATTCCTACGTGGTTCTGTTAATGTCACATTAGCATTTTGTTATTATTCAATTACTGAAAAATAAAAGTCCATCTAACGCCCATTTTTATTTAAATCTAATCGACTATTAACGGAACTGACCAATCACATTGGCTGATTAGTTGAACTGATGAATGTGATTGGTCAATCCGTTAACTGTTGATCAGGTTTAAAGCGAGATGAAAAGGGTACGAAATGGCATTGAGAAGTCGTAAAAAATAATATTCTCTCCTAACCTGTTGTTCGAATTGTACTGTTCGAAAATAAAATTATTATCTAACCTGCCTTTAAATCAAATTACTTGAAAATAAAGATCCATTTAATTGGTTGTATTTATTCGTATTAATGAAAGTGAAAATTAATTTGAATTATTATATCGTAATTTTTTAAAATAAAAGTCTAATATGTTATAGAGTTGTGCTGCTTCAAAATAAAGTTCGTTTGATTTATCATTGAGTTGTACCACTACCTCATTGTTTTGTCTTTTTATTTAACATAAAATATATACAAAAAGCATACAGGTTTCGGGACAAAATCTACCCGACCCAATATCGCTATCTCAGTTTATCTTGAAAGATCAGTGGCGGCTCGTAGCGGAAAACTTGGAATTAGAAAAAAATATGACAACTTTGATTTTCAGTCGAGATTCAAACCAAGCTTACCCTAGACTCAAACCGTACACAACGTACCAGGTTCCTCACGACACCATTAGATGGCCCTAGATATAGTCCATTGACTCCCCCGAAATTCCCTCGCTTACCGCTAGCTGGCGCTACCAGTCCTCTTTTGAATGGCGTCCTAAACTGGAAAAATGACAAGCCTTGTATTTTCCAGTATCGGCATCTAATGATCAATCGCATAGTGTTCTGCAATGATTCCCATGAGCGTTCACGCGCCGGCGGCCGTTATCTCTACCGCCAAGTCGAAGTCGAAGTAGCATGACTTGAAAACAGGTAAGACGGCAGGTGAGACGAAGAATCTCGATTTTCCGTTAGCACGGCTCAACGACGACGTAACCGTTGCCGTTAAGAAGCGCATCGCTCGCAATATTCAAACGCACCTCGCAATAAGGTAAATGATAACAACGATCATTTGTTTACCATCGACGCGCAGCGCCGCAGCGAAGGCGATCATAAACAATTGGAGATTACATGTACTTCTCAATCAGTTACGACAATAATGTTTAGATATTTCGATTCCTTATTAAATTCCGAATAAATGAGTGAAGAAAAATGTTGGTGACTCGGAGCAACCTTGAGAAAACATAACCGCTGTATCTCGGCGGGAAGACAAACATCAGATATCCTTAATCTTCCCGATCAAGATCAGCCGAGATCAGTCCTCGAACGTTTTTGTCCGACTCGGCTGGTTCGGGTTTTTTAGGAAATCGAATCCGTACAGTTCCGTGTTTGATGGAAACGCCAACCGAATCGATGCAAGGCACGCGCAAATGTCAGTGTCTGAGAACTTTTTTACACATTTTTAGACGACTCTCAAACGTCCTTTATTCGTCTTCGAAATTTTCTGCACACCCGATACTCTGGTAGGATTTTTCCCTTTCGAATCTCATTAGCTAAATATAGCTCGAGAGGACTCTGAAGTTTACATTCCGAAGTTCATTATCTCTTATCCCCTTTCAAGATTCCGGAGGAGTGCAGATCGAGATACCAATGACGTCCCGCATCAATTACGACGCAGCAAATGGCTTCACGCTCGCTTCTGAGAAAATTCCTTATTCATCGGTAGCCCCTGCGTGTATGCAAGTATCGTGTCGACGCACAAAGACGTTAAAAGCCTGCCTATACAAGATGTCCGAATATTATCGGATGTCCTTCCAACCGCAACTTTCTCGATCGACTCGAGGGAGCAAAAACGAACTTCTCATGAAATGTATCCGGAAAGAGAACATCATTCATCGCGTCTTTCCAAATTCTAAACATCGCTCGCCCAACCCAGACAGCACAAGTCGTCCAAAATCGGGACATAGACGTCACTTAGACGTCTTAAAAACGACTTAAGGACGTCTTACATCACGACACCTCAACGACAACTTAAAGATGTCTAAAGGACATCTCACGTCCCGATTTTGGACACTGTGTTGTCCGGGAAGTTTCGCTGTCGCAGGTTTTTCGAAAGCCAAGTTAGGGCCGAAAGTTCCATGAAAGTCAAGCCGAGTGATCTAGATTCCGGTTATCTTCCCTGCGAAGAAATCACCCGAGGCCCTTTATCTTTAATCGTAAATTACCGATAACCACAGGTGTGAGGAGCCTCGACGACTCCGCTCTGATTACCCGGGGTCTACCGAGAGTCTACCTGCTCGCCGCCAGATAACGCTTCCACGACACCGTGTATAGGCACGTTGGGAGGGACTCACCTGTTTCACAACCTGCGTGACGTATGCTGGTTGAGAGGCGCGTCACGTGATCCCCAGCGTCTCCACCGTTCCGTTGGCCGTAGTGGTAGGTGTGTAGAGCGTAGCGTCTACGCGCTACCAGCGTGCACCATGGCGACCGTGCGTTTAGTGGCCGTAGAGCCTTTGTGAGGGACGGTGACTGGTCGCGCTGAGAGAGAGAGAGAGAGAGTAGCAGGAGCACAGAGGCCGCGTCCTCCTCGCGAGCGAGCGAGCAAACAGACGCTTACGCACGCAGTTACTCGCGCAGCGACGGACGAGGCGAAGCGTACCGCGCGAAAACCGCGCCCAAATTCGACGGTGAACCAGATGGAGGTGAGTCGCCGCCACCCCGACGAGCGACGGTGCCGTTGCCCGTCCGCCGTCGGCCGGTAGGATCTAACGAGAGATCGAGATCGGCGGTCGATCGAGGATGCAGGACACAGCGTGACGCGCGCGAATGATCGAGTCGCGACGACTGAGAGGAAAATCGAGCGGAGGAGTAGCGAGAGGAGAGCAGCGAGAAGAGGAAGAACAACTCGCCTGGTCGCGGAGCGTGTTGTTGTTCGGAAGCGAGGAATCCGAGCGAGCAGCGCGGGTAACGGACGTCGCGGTCCCTCGCGCGTGAAAGAGCGCGCCGACCGCACCGCACCCCGGGGGGACGGCCCGGCGGAAGGTTAACGCTCGAATTCGAAGCTGCTCAGGTAGCATCGGTAAGTGCGTGACGGAGGAGGAGGATGATTATGGTGGTGGTGGTGGTAGTGGTGGTGGATTTCATTTTTATCCGGCCTTTCAATGTAACGTTGTCGGAGACATTCTCCCCCCTGCACACACGTGAGCGAAGGGCGCAATGTTGACGCGAGCGAAGCGAACGTGCGCGGTGAGCGGTGGTGAACGTCCTGGGACGGGAATTGAAAGAGCGTCGTTGCGCCGGGGACGGTCTTCGGGGGAAACCTAGAAAAGAATGCGGTGGTTCGAGTTTTCTTCCGCTCGAAACTTGATAGAAGAAACTTGTATTCTGTGTGGGATCTTCCCAGGCGGGGCAAATGTCTAAGGGTTGTCTTAGAGATATTTTAAATGGCATTCTGTGTCTTTTTTTTCTTTTTAGATTTTCTTTCTTTTTAGATTTTTTTAACTTTTCTTTCGGGCATTTTGAGGGATTTTTTAAAAAAATTTATTCTACCTGGGCTCGCTCGACTGATTTTGTATTTTGATTTAAATAGTTCGCGTTTCTTTAATTCGAAATTTTGTATGGTAAATTGTTGTACTTTGCGATTCTCACTTGACCAACTCGGTGTCGATTTTTGCTTAACAACAGAGAAGTCTCTCGGAATTGATTCCGAGTTCCGGGATAACGGAGAGGCATCTCATGAATTAACTCATTTGCATCAGAAGTGGGAATATCCGTTGGTTCCGCCATTATCGTAAAAGCGGACATATCTACGCGCGATCGAGGCCACATTGAATCACAAAAATCACGTCCGATCATCCGTAAGATGATGATAAGAGTACGAATTAAAAGTGAAACAACTTTAAAATTTAAAGTGACGATAAATAAAACGAATATACAAGCGTACCTGTCAACTTTCTTGATGACACAGAGTTGAGCCGAAAATGAGTTACGGAATCTCTCAAATCGACTTTAACCCAACTCGAATCTCGTTTATATCCATTTATATACAACATTACAAACTATAATGACAAGCGTCGTATCGCGAAGGAAGTGTTGAGAAACACAGCGGCTCATTAGATATTTCAATCGATTCCTGATTACACAGTTTGCGAGCTGTTTCCCAAGCAGACGTAGGAATCGCCGACTCACTGCTCGGGGAAGGCGCGCAATAATCATTTCGGAGGTTTTCCATTTTCCCGAACTGAGAGAAACATTGTGTTTGTCTTCCAGAGTCACCGAGCAGGTCCGCCCCGAAGTCACGAAGGAAGGAAAGAACGAGAGAGAAAGAGAGAGAGAGAAATTGGCTAATTCATCGGCACGGATAATCGTCGTCGGGGCCGAAGCTCGCGCTCAGTGAAAGTATCGCACTTAGACGCGCGACCTGACTGACGCACGGCGGATCGACGGCGGATGACGCGTCCGACGGCCGTCGATAAACGGATGATTCGCGAAGGCTCGCTCCTCCTCCTCTTCTTCTTCCGCCCGACGTCAACTTTCAGTGCACTGTAGGCGAGTAGTCGCTCCGTTTGCGCGAGTGTCGCGTGCACTCTCGGTGGTACCGCTCGGTAGTGCAACGTGCTCGCCTCGAAGACGGTGAACGAGTTCCGAGTGAAGTGCTGCGAAGCAGCGCTCGTCGGCGAGTGCCCGAAGTGCCGCGTTTCTTCTTCCTTCGCTCTTCTCGCCTGCTCGTGCCGCGTCGGCTCGCGTTGGAACGATCGTCGTCACCCGTCGTGCTCGTCGCGAGTTTTCCTGCTGGGAGCGGTGTGAGTCAGGTATTATCACCACCACCAATCATCACTGTAGTGAGTTCCGCTACATCTCCGATGAGTTCAGTGATTCAGTGACGACGTGTGCGCGCGCGCCGATGACTCGAGCGAGTTCCACTACCTGACGCCGACACGCGCCGAAAGATGCACCGCTGGGCGCACGTCTCGCTGGCGATCCTGGCCGCGCTCTCGGCCACGGTCGAGCCGAGCAACAGGTACCGGCAGCCGGCCGAGCAGCAGTCGTCGATCTACTACACGGAGCCGACGACCCTGGTGAACAGTGCGACCGACAGCCACGACGGTGTGACCGAGCTGCACGGCGGCCGCATCGTCCGAGGTCAGAGGTTGCTGCAGAGGAGCAAGAGCCCGTACTTGCTGCGCGAGGATCTCTACGTCGAGAGCGACGGCGAGCTCGTTCTCGAGCCCGGGGTGGAGGTCCGCTTCGGCCCGATGGTCGGCATCACCGTCCGCGGCGTCGTCACCGCCGAGGTAATAATCCGTAAAAGTCGCGATGGTAGGAGCGAAGCCAGAGACTAAGCGGAGTGCACGCTCCCCTGGAGAAAGCGTTACGTGCGCCGACTTCAGAGAATACGACTCTTCGCTCGGGTAGCGAGAACAAAGGCAAGATCCGGCCGGCGGGAGTCTTAACCCTTAACCGCATCGCCGACGTTGCAAACGTTGCCGCTTTGTCTTCGTCCGTCGCGCGAGCAGCGTTATTTAACCCACCCGCAGCTCGGCCTTTCGTTTTTTGTTTTTTTTTTCACCCACTTGTGGATTCTTTCTTCTCATTTCTTCGGGTCTTCGTGATTAGGTGAGCCTTCTTTATCGCGGGACAAATCTCCACGATTTTACGAGGCTCGATAAAGTCCACGGGTGATTATGATGAGAGGGGTGAAAAGTGACCGATCCGCGGGAGAAATTAGTGTTAAGTCAAGAGCAGATGTTCTCGTATGTAAGCAAGACAATGATGATCTTCTTAGGAGATTTTCAAGTCTTGAATTGAGTTCAAGCGATACTTGCATTTTTTTGTCAGATTTAAAACTAATTCTCTTTTCCGCGGGATCCGAATTGCCGCGGTTTTAGGGTTAACTTCCGGTTGTACCCGTTGGGATCTGCCTTCGGCGTTAGCTTTTGATTTTAGTAATTGAGCTCCGATTATTTAACAAGGATCGATATTTAGTATGATGTAATCCGTGATGTATAGATGATAATAACGTACGTTGCGCTCGCCGAGTGTACGCACCTTGAAGAATCCGCCATCAACGACGCGATTTGCCGCCCACGCGACAGTGCACGCTCGCTAATACCGTCGCTTAAACGCACGTTGTTGTGCTCACTGATGGAGAGCGTGCTCCGATAAACATCGTGCGAATGGTCCCGCGTTCACCGAAGACGACGACGGTGCTGGTACACCCTGCCGGCGGCGTCGTCGCGCGTCGCTGCGCGAGCACAGTGGATTTTTCAACCGTTACTTTTGTTTGCTAATGTTGAGGCGCACCGCCACCGGCAGCTGCGAAGGAGGGGCGGATCATTTCGCACAGTGGGTCACTCGCCGGGTCTATTCTTGGTTCATGTGAGAGAAACTCCGCTCTTTTATCGCGCTATTTACATCAAAACGACGTAGTCGGGATCAACTCCGACGGCCGTGCGAAGTTGAGCTCGGATTGTCCGTGTATGTGGTTCTTTTTTTTATTTTATCACCACGTGCTCCCACGTTTACCCGCGCGTTATTTCGTTCGTCGGCGTATTTCCACTTGAAGAAAAAAAATACTTGGCTCGCGTGAGAATTTGTCTCGCGTTTCATGCACTGAGAAAAAGATTCCTTCAAGTTTAATTGATTGCACTGCATCCAAACAGAAATTTCATCATCGGCGTGCTCCGAAGAAAGTAATGTTTCGATTAGTAACTGTGCGGGGGAAAGGTTAAATGACGTATTAAAGGAGTTTTTCATATCATATTCGTGCAACGAACCGGCCGGATTAAAAATCAAATCGGCAATGTCGGTACGGGAACTCTCTTTGGAACGGTTTCACTGGAAACGTGTGTTTTATTACGCAGGGCGTAGCAACGCGAGCGTGGATAATTGCAGACAGCGTCCTTATAGTCGCGAAGACTATCGATGCGCTCTGTGTGCGCATGTGTTGTCTGTTACATGCCCTGTGCGTCGTCGTCGTGCGTACGTGTAACGTTGAATGGACATGACTCATCACGTGCAACTGTGCACGTGCTTACTACACGTAGCGAAGGAGAAAGAAACGGCCGGCCGGGACAAATTGCGTTCCCCGAAAGGAAATAAAATACTCCCGCGGATCGGTCGCGATCCTATCGGAATTTCGTCATCGCCGCGGAGGTAACGAGAAACGAGAGAGGTTCGACTGTGTGAGATTTTCACGGTGCCATTCTGAAATAGCCGAGTGAAAAGTATGCTTTATGTCGCTAAATTGTTGCCATCTTCGGCTAATTGCTAATTACATATCTCCTTGTTGTTGCTCCCGACAAAGGAAAAAGTAATAGGAGCAATATGCACATCAAGTTATTATCGTTAACATTATAGCAACACTAATTGAAATATTACTTATTAAAATTAATAATATAAAAATAATAATTGTTATTTATTTATTATAATTATATATATTGATTAATTATGATTATATATATATTTATTTATTTATTTATTTATTTATTATTATAATGATCGATTAATTTAATATAACCTATTTAAAATGATTCTTTCGATGAAAGTTCGTTCTCTACGCGCTTGTGTAGTTGCGAGTATGAAATACCTTTTTCTCCGGTGTATCGGTGTATCAACGTGCACCTGAATCTTACCACAGGGGCCCGGTATCGTCGTATCGTCATCATCGCCGAGAATCGATAGCGTCGTTGATAGCGTTAACTGATAAACGAGATTGGAGTCCGTATCGTAGTACAGTGAGTGTTATCAACGGAGAATTTTCGTAATCGTACACGAGCGGCGAATAGTTCGGAGTATTTGGAGGAACGTGACTCACAATTATACCTCGAGAACGCTCCTTGAAATTTCACGGCTGGCTCTTTAATTTCGCCGCACGGCTTCCGGGATTTCGAGTATTTTGTTCTCTCTCGTTACACAAATTGCATAATGACTGACTGATGATATACATTGTGATAAATTATATGAACATTACATTGAGAGAAAAGCATTTGGCACTTGTAAATTATAATTATTATAGTGAAAGAATTACAGTCAGGAGAACCGTTTTTTTAATAAGTGTTATTAGAGTTAATAATCTTATATATATATTGTTATTACTATTTTTGTAGTTGTAAACTATACAAAGGATATAGTTTACGTCGAATATATAATTTCTCCTGGCGTACACTGAGAGGAAATCGTTAATAGTTATTTTCGGGGACAACAATATCCTTTTTTTATTTTAACCGCAAAAGTAATAGTAGTAACATTCACGTAAAGTTATTGTCGCTGGCGCTATATAGTAGCGCTTATTAGAAAAATAGTTCTTTCGATTGTTTTTGCGGTTAAAATGGAAAAAGGATATTATTGTCCCCGAAAATGACTATGTTTTTCCCTCCGTGTAAGAGAATACGGAAGGAGTCGCACTCGTTCGTAACGTAGACGCGTGAACTTTCATCTCTGAAATTTCATCGCGCGGTAATCCAATATTCCTCACTCACTCGGCCGCTTTCAATTCGCACTTCCGGTACGAATATGAGCGGGGCAGAACTGTCAAATGTTTCTGCCGCGGTTGGGCGCGCGCGTCACGGACTACTTGTCTATGTTCGTCGGTTTTTTGTCAATGAGTCGAGCGACCATTTCTGGTAACGAGGGCTTTACGAGCGGCAATTAAAATCAGAGGTATTCCAGTTGAGACATCAACTGTGATGTCGGGCGTTTTATCAGGATGGACACCGTCGAGGAAGTAGAAGAAGAAGCGCGAGAAAACATCTTTTAATATCCATATAATTGTTCACTGTGTATATCTATAATTAAGTATTGTATAGAATTTATGTAACAAGGGGACATATATATTCGAAAACGCGGGATCCGAACGCCAAGTTTCACCGGTGACGTTGCAGGATGGAGAAACAGTAACGTGTCCGTTTTTCATTTTGCCACGGCAAAACCTGGGGCTGATTCGATTGTAAAAAAAGAGCACTGTGATTTACATCGGTTCGGTAAATGTAATCGCGAAAGAATGCAAAACACTGGATGGTACGGCAGGAAAGAGATTCCTTCAAGCGGGGCGGAGGACATCGGCTAACCGGAAACGCCGTGAGCACGCGAGCATCGTTGCGTTTATTGTTGCATTGTATATGGTGTGGACGCATCGGAATAGGATAGAGAGCTCAACTGTGCCATAATACCGCGAGCTCTCTGTGTATCTATGTGTATATGCGTGCGTGTGTACGACGCGTTACCAACAGGTGTCATTACGTATTATTTGGCTGCTATTTTAATTGCCCCCGCGATTTCAGAAAGCAGCACGCGCGTCCGCCCATTCACACTGGCGCAATCGCGATTAAGAGGATTAATTCTCATTTGGTGGGTGGCGTTTAGGTTTCTTTTCCTTTTTTTTTTAGTCGTAAGATGTACAATTCTGACGTTTTGCGTACTTATCTTTGCTTGTCTTTGCTTATTTTTGCTTTAATTATACACGAATACTTATCTTTGCTTTAACTATACACGATAATTTCTACGCATTATTATCTTCAATATTGATCAAGTTACAAGTAATTTCATTAACGTTGAGAACGCGAAACGTTGATGAACACTTAATCGCGAAAAAAGAAGATTCCTAGAAAAATCGATTAAACCCCCGAGGAGAGTCGCAGAGAATGAATTCAACAGACTTGATTAAATGGGTCTTCCGGTACGGTGAAAAAGAGGCGCGACCTAGATAAATATCGATTGGTGGTTAATTTGGCTTCCGAGCAAGCGCTGCGTTCTTTATAGACTTGTTTCATAAATGTTTCGTAAACGTGCCGGCTCACTTCTTCAAGGGCGTGAGGGGCGATTCAAAACTCAGTGTTGATTGGTGACCGTTAACCCGTGCAACTTATTCCTGCACGTGTATATCTACATATATAACAAGGCGTTTTCGAATATATATGTCCCCTTGTTATATACGTGTATAGCATTACATCCTTAATGAGAATTAGATCTTTAATAGGATAAAACGCGCCAGTGAATGACCGGTTAGGAATGGTTATCGAATCACTCAATCTTGTCGAGAGCTCTCGAGACGGTGGGACTGCAAGTGTATGACCAATGGCTCCGGTAATTAACTGTTCATGAATTCGTATGCTATGATTACGTTCTGTGATGATTACGTTACGGAGAGATGAGGAAAAAAAGTATAGAACGCGGTGCTTATGCGAAGCGGCAAATAGTAATTTACGGGGCGATGTGCATTCGCTGCTGACGCACTCGTTCTACCGGAAGTGTTATTGATCCTCGACATACCGCATTGTGGTGTCAATTAAATGATTAATTTATCTCTGATTAATCCTTATGTATTATAATATACCTAATCTTTACCTCTGAAGAAAAAAACAATGTACTTATTTCTTTTGTATTATTTTTTTTCTTTACCTTATTTAAATTTCTTTGTTGTATTGGATGTGTGTGAAAGTTTTAATCTCTTTTTTTTTTTCCGCAAGTTTCCCCTTTATTTTCACGTAGTCGAAACACTGAAACTTTTGCCTATACGTAATATATGATTATATATATAAGGATTAATTAAATAAATCTGTGATAGCCCTGAGAAAGAATGAAAGTAGCGAGATATCAATCCTTGCGAATAGTGGAAACTGCTCGGAGGAGATGCGTCGAAGACTAAAGTCAGGTGAAGCGGATCCCCGGGGATTAGAAACGCCATTGTTCGGTACCATCGTTAACGGAGTAGAAGCGTTTAAGGGCGTTAAAGGGCGCACTCGTAATCCCCGTAAACGGATACCTTATATCCGCGCGCTCGCATTCGCGACAGTGCGTCGCACAAGATCCGCGGAGAACACTAATCGGATGATTAAGAACGGGATGCGAACGACGCGTGTGCACCGTGTACACGGCACAGCAGCGAGTGATTCAGCAGCACCGCCTCTAATGCAGTCTAAGCGATGCGTTTCAGGTCACGCATCAGCCGGCGGTTCTTGCCCCCGCACGATTAACCCCGCAACCTCGAGTAATCCCTTTATAGGCCCGGCCGAGTGGCGAGACCTTCGGCCGCTCTTGGCACGGAGAGTGCAGTGTCGTAGCTGTAATTTTTCGGCTTTTTTGCTCGATGTTAAACACGAGAGAGAGAGAGAGAGAGAGAGAAATTTATATTTTTTTTTTGCCTAACACGTTGACTGCCACGGAACTTTTCACGATTCTGGTCTAAGAAGCCAATTTGATTTAATCAAGTAATGAAGCGACGAGATAACTCGTAGTTGGCGTCCTGGGCAAGTAAACAACCTACGAGATATCTCGTAGTTGGCAGTCAACGTGTTAATCAGTATTTGTCATGAAGGTAATTGGTAACCGATATTATGATACCATGTCTCGTTAATTTACACATAAAACGTGATCAATCGCATATAAGAAATTGTACATATGATTAATAGCGAGCCAATAGCATAGACCAACAGACACGTGTGCATGACTTGCATTTACTTATTTACTTACTGTCCCTCTCACTCCGGTTATTCAAACTATTGTTGAGTTTCGAAGTAATCGGTGGAAATCAACGAAGGAGAACAATCGAGATGTTAAAATGGAGAATATTTACGAAGATTATCCTTTTTATCTCCGCGACATGTCTCCTTTCAGCACCACTGCTGACACTGACACGAATGAACGACACGTCACGAGTGACACGACACTTCTTAATAAGTTTTGACGTTTCTGTTATCAAGGGCAAAACAGACGACAAGATTCTCCTGACCGCAGCGGACGCGGAGACGCAAGTGCCGGTCATTCAGTCGACATCTTCGATACGGCTAGTCGACGGGCCGAGTCCGTTAACAGGCAGACTGCAGCTTCATCATAAGGGCAGTTGGCGTTCCGTCTGCACGAACTCGCGAAAGTACGTAAGAGAGAAGACCGAGAACTTAGCGATTTCAAGGAATAAGCCTCGGCCCGCAATCTTTAATACGTAAGCAGCAAGCAAGTCGACTAATCACAGTCGTTTATTAGAAGAATAATCGATCGTGGTTAGTCCATTTGCTTACTGCTTACGTCTGAGAGCAAGCTTGTAGATCAAAGCTACGAGAAAAAAAAAAGGAAGAGCCGAAATTTTCCCTCTCTTTGTCCTTTTTCCGATGTTGTTTAATTCGAGTCGAAGAACCTTCCGATCATTTACATTTCATTCATTTATATTTGAGAAGTATTCATATTTATCCACAACCATGATTAAAAGACACATATTTATATTTCATTTATTATATTATACGATTGAAATTTGCACACACCTTACATAACCCACGTCGTCCTTTGCGTTACAGTTGGACTCGCGCGGACTTGGAGACAGCCTGCCGACAGCTCGGCTACCAAGGTGGACAATGGTGGTCGTGGATCGACAGGCAATGGCCGGCCAGATCGCGTCTCCTCCTCGAGGAGCCGGGCTGTCGCGGCATCGAGCCTGCGTTGGCAACGTGCGATGGGTGGCTGGACAGACAATTGGGTGGCGGTGTGTGCGGTAAGTCGCAAAGATTTTTTTCATATATATATAACACATATATATCTTCCAAGTATAAAGCAAAATATAATATCTCGATGAGATGAAGAACTGAGGAAAGAAGTGTTCATAAATCTTGTTTACATCGGAGACGCTGGTAATCTAAGATTACATGGCTGTTGATTTTTGTGAAATCGAGTTTCAATGATCACGAGAAATTATTGAGCGCTCTGTACAACTTCGTTCTGTTGGAGATATAAAAAAATATATGTCATCATTTTAATATCTCCGCCTAAAATTGTTTAATTATATTTTTGCAATTTACACAAGACAGATCACGAAAGTTTCTAATAACACCCGATCTGCATCGCCGATTGCAGATTACCATCCGGACATGGGTATCTCATGCTTACCGCGTCACGACGGTGCGACCAGGGCGATCAAGCATTGGCGAGGGATACGATTCGAGAACGCGGTGCACAGCAGATCGCTCATCCAGGAGAACACGCTCTACGTGCGTCAGTCGAAGTCGATCCTGCGAAACACGGTGATCGAGTGAGTGTCGTGGACCGATGAAAATGAATATTTCTCGACGGAAGAAGGGAACATCGTCTATGAACGTTCTCTTGTACCTTCTCCGAACGTTTCTGTAAAATTTACCGTGATTTGACGAACAGATACGCCGGGACCGGAAGAGAATACAACGTTACGTCGGCGATAGACGTGGTGGGTGTGCCACCGAGGATGGAGTCCATCTCCGTTCTTCATTCCGCTTTCAACGGTATTAACATTACTACGCCAGATGCGCCGGTCGTGATAAATAATTGCACCGTGCAGTACAACAAAGGTGAGCTTCTTTGTTCATATTGACACCTTTTGCGTTCATGGAGACAAGATTTCTTAATCAACCTGATCTATGACGTATACGTATAAATACATGATAAATGTATGTGTGTTTATTCCCAGGATACGGGATTTACGTGAACAGCTCGTCCGGCATGGTGTACCTCGAGAACTGTACAGTGGAGGATAACGGCGCGGACGGCATCAAGTACGTGCACTTTGACGAGCGACCGGACGACAAATTGGACCGTACCGGCGTGTACGATCTGTGCACCTTCCCCACGACGACCAGTCAAACCTTCCCCGTCACCATTTCCATGGAACAGAGCAAATACGCGCCTAACGTGAAACAATGTCCCCAAGTAAGTGAGCGCTCGCTTACACCTCCTCCCGAGCACCTCGAAATCTTCGCGGGATAACTCAATGTTAGCCGATGACGCGCAATTAATAAGAGATAACGTTGTGGTCCAGCACATCTTCGCGAGATGGGGCCACGTCCTGACGCTGCATTTTCTGCAAATGAGAACCGACAGGAACGACAGCGCCATTGTGGAGGTGTACGACGGTCTCAGCAGCTCCGACAAGCTCTTGGCCAGCGTGAAAATCAGGAACGGGACGTTGCCGCAGAGCGTGACCTCGACGCGGCAGAATCTCTTCCTGAAGTTCACGGCGGAGTCGCGGACGAACACGATCGTGTTCGTGCGCATCTCGTCCGGCTACCGTGAGTTCAACATTTTACACATTTAGTTACACATTTCAACGTAACACAATGAGGACAAGAAAGCGGAGTTCGATATTTGTAACTATAATCGCATATTAGTCCGAGAAATTCTGTATGGTTCCACTAAAAAAATATCATGTTCTTGTCACTCAGGGATAATTTTGACAAAATTTTCAGAAATATTTCGAGAGAAAAGAATATTAAATAGAAAGAACGATATCTTCAAGCTGAGAATCGCGTCAGTTCGAAGACACACCGCTCTCGTTCTTTCTATTCAATAATCTTGGATATTATTTTCTATTTCCCCGTGCAGATAAATATTCTATGAATATTTGTTACGAATATTTTACATCCGTGGAATGTATTAAAAACATTGTTGTGCGTTCATAGTATGTTCTTGATGTTCGAACGACACTATGCTTGGGGTTTAACGTGGTGTCTCCTTTCGACACAGAGAAAACGTACGATCTCAACGTGACGGGCGGCGTAATAGCGAGCAACAATGGTCGCGGTATCATCGCGGAGAGGCTGCGGTCCGCTTTGCACATCCACGAGACCTCGGTGTCGAACAACAAGCACGCGGCCGGCGTGCACGTGCTGGACGGCGCCATGGACGTCAATATTACCGCGAGTCGCGTCGCCTTCAATGAAGGGGACGGCGTTAACATCACCGTGAAAGGCGGCAATCGCAACGTGTCGCGTAGCATCATCTCGTCCAACCATGGTTACGGGTTCGCGGTGTGGCTGAACGACAGCACCGCTACCGAGTACGTGCACTTCAATCAGACCACCGTGATCGAGTACTCGAAGATATATCGGAACGACGACATCGGTGTGCTGGTGAGTGAGTGAGTTGCGCAGATGTAGAACGCGTCACGTATACGATTTCCCCGGGTTGGTTACAGAAGAATTTTTCCGTTTAGTTCTCGCGAGAAGGGGGCGAGTTCGAGTATTGAAAGATATATTCATTGAAGTTCTCGTTTGAATATATTCGAAACATACCGAGAAGATGTCGTACATTTTTTTGGTCCGTGAGGATATTATCAAAACTTCGATGTTGAATTCGCTCTCTACTTTGACAAACACGACAAACCTTTTGCACCAATCTAAGATGCAAGTTTAGTTAAAGATTACCTAAATCACTAACTAACTCAATTCATAGTTAATATTAAATTAACTTGTTAAAGTTAACAGTTAATTGTACAAAACCATATACATATATATATATATAATGCTCTTTGCTTTTTACAACTGTTGCAAGTGTAAAATCGCAGGAACTGTCGTTGGGTTGTGCAATAAGTACAAAAGTAGGCAAGTAAGAGAAAGATCTAAAACACCTGAACAACCGTGAACAGCCTCTTCCCCTTTCTCTTCGCAGGTCGGCAATTCAACCGGCGACTCGTACGTGAATATCACCGGCAACTGGTTCAACAGCAGTATAGAGACGGCGCTGCAAGTGGAGTCCAGTTGGAGGCGGGACAACGGATTGCTGAGGCTGCAGATCGGGCACAATTCGTTCGTGAAGAACAAGAAGTTCGGCATCAGGTTGTACCCGGCGCTCAATCTCCGCGGTACCATCGAGTACAATCACTTCAGGGAGCAAAGGAACGGCGGGATCCTCATAAGGAACCCCCTCTACGAGGAGTTCAACGTTCTGCCCGCGGACATCGTGATTCGGCACAACGAGTTCTACTCCAACCGGGGCACCTTCGTCGCCAGCATCGGCCTGTCGCCCTACAGCGACGTGCAGCGGCTGCTCTTCACGAGGAACTTCCTGCGAGACAATCGCGTCCGCGAGCTGTTCGACACCGGCGGCACGTCGAGGGCCAAGTTGATACCGCGCTCCAGGGTCGCCGCCGTCGTCGTCGTCTCTTCGGCCAACGTCGAGGTCTTCCGTAATATCCTGCACAACTCCAACTCGCGTTACGAAATCGGCTCCCAACTGGAGGACCAGAGCAAGGTGATCAATTGCACTTACAACTGGCTGGGGTTCACCGACGACGAGAAGATATTCGACCGGCTGTTCCACAGGTGCGTACTCTCACGTTGTCGCTGCCTTATTGTATTGCGATTACCGCATGCAGAGATACTTCCACCCGTTTTTACTCCGTGAAAACCGCGTCAGTTTGAGCAAGTGGAATTGTGAAATTCGACTGAGCGAGCACCCGACCCTTCTTCTAAGTCGGAAGGAAGCGCTCCTCCGTAATAACGAACAGTTGTGATTCGTGTCTGACTCGTAGCCGTTTTGACACGAAACGAAATTTCAGTTTGTGTTTGAACTGAGTTTAGTTTTTACGTTCAGTCAGAACTGAAGCGCGATTAAACGGTTGTTATTCGTGTCGTTGTGAAACCTGTCAGACCGGCGTCGCATTTGCAGGAAGGACAGATACAATCTCGCGAAGATCGAGTACCTGCCTTACTTGCTGCACAACAGCAACCCGGGCGCGAACACCATCATCTCGAATCCGACGTTCGTCGCGCAGTTCGTCACACCCAGCACGAATCTGGTCGGCGGCGAGGTCGACGGTCAAGAGGAGCTGAAGGCCGGAGAGTACATCGTCGAACGCGACATCAACGTGAGACCAGGCGGCAAACTGATCTTGCAGCCGGGCGTGACGTTGCGCTTCCCACCTGCCGTGGGCATGATGGTCGCCGGCAAGTTGGACGCGCGCGGAAGAGGACCCAACAATATCTTGTTCACTCTGAAGGAAGAGCCGGTTATAGAGCCGCCAAACAAAACCGAGGAGGACTACATGATTCAAATCGACGAGACGGAGTCCGCTCCGGTACGGCTTCTCGGCGGCAAGACGAGCCTCGAAGGAAGATTACAGGTACGGCCGAATTGCATTTTCACGATTTATACCCGGCAAACGTACTTAAGCGACACTTCCTGTTACTCAATATGTATCAGATATTTGTTATGTCAAGGTTCGGGTAAGTTAATTTTGATTTCTAACCGAGTTAAATTCAAGATTACTCAAACGTGCAGCATAATATTATGATCGTCTACTTTTGTCTTTTCCCGTGGGAAAGGTGAAAATCGCAAATAAATGGGGAACCGTGTGCAACTACGGCTGGACGATGCTGGACGCGGCGTTGGTCTGCCATCAGCTGGGCTACATCCTCGACTCGGACAACTGGTTCATGGAACGTTCGCAAATCCCGAACTCGGGGATCAACGAGGACATACTGTTCAGCAACGTGCGCTGCACCGAGCACGACAACGACATAACGAAGTGCCGGGCGGAGCAGCAGCAGGACTTCGAGAACTCGTGCACCCACGCGAACGACGTCGGTGTCAGGTGCCTGGAACCGGCATGGGCGGGCCTCAGATTGGGACCGTTGGCACTGAGAAGCGATCTGCAGTACCTGACGATCGAGAAGGCGGGCCTGCTGGATTACAGGACGAATTTGTTCAAGCCAGGTGATCCTCCGCCTTCCGTCCGTCGATCCTAAAATCGTCAATCGTCCAGCCACAATAATTCCCATTTATTGTTTCAACGTTCGACTAATCAATTACACGAAATTCCACTCAAGATCACATATTATAATTGTTGAGATTTACCAATCGCTGACAAATGGCGAACTCTTACCGTTTAACCGATATTCGTGAACAAACGAATCAGCGTCGCGCAAAAATCGGCACGAAGGATTCAATTGAACAATACCGTAAAACGACGTCGTGTTTTACCGACAGCTCTGCAGATTGACTTCGCTCGGCATTCCTTAGACGGCATCAAGGTCGTGAACAATCTGCAGGACGGCTTAGGGGTGCTGTACTCGGACATCTACTCGGCGGACGCGATAAACATCGTGATGAACAGCGAGTTCTCGCAGAACGGTGGCAGCGGGGTCAGCTTCAAGCAGCTCGGCATGCGGATCGTCAACTCGAGAATCGAGAGCAACAAGGTGGCCGGTATCAGGCACAATCCCGCGCTCTCGGCCGTGCAGCAGAGAGAATTCGCCGGCTGGTTCTTGCACGCGCCCGACACCACCGTCGACTCCCCGTACAACCCCATCGTCCTGCCGGAATCGAATCAGAACATCAAGCTCACCAACGGCGAAACCAAGTACATCGTCACGTCCAAAGTGGCCGGCGAGTCCATCCGTCGCATCGTCAGTGTTGAAGTGAGTCCCCCCCCCTCTCCTTCCCCGATCGCACGCTTCACTGATACTCGTGCGACGGAATCAGGAGTAAAAAATGGAAAGGAAGATTGCACGTCGTATTAATTCGATGGTTATATTTCTTATATCAAATTCTACCGTTGCAATCCTTCGGTCGGAAGTTAATAGTTCGTTGAAATTAATAATTCATTTTAATCGGGTGAGACACGTTCACTCTTGCAACTTGGAGCGAATAGTTTTTTCATCGCTGCTTTGAATGGAGTTTCTCGTCTCGAGTGAGATCTCGTTCCTACGTCTTCGGAGTAGCATCTTTGTCGCTCATTAAATATGGAACGAAGGCAGAATGACGTTTGTGCCGGAGCAGGGAAACGTCCAGTCGTGACTTCTATCAATGTTGTGACTTCTTCCGTCTCACAGTGCACCCCGGGCTACGTGATCGGCATCCAATTGCTGAACCCGATAGAGAATCGAAGCACGGAACAGATAATACTGCGCAACTCGCCGCGCAACGACAAGAATCAGATGAGTTGGCATGTGAAGCGAGATCTGAGCGTGTTCCCGGTCTCGTCCAGCTCCTTCTTCGTGTTCCTGGAGTACGAGAGCGGCGAGGATGCTCTCGGTGGAGCCGTCATGGCTGTCACGCCGCTCTTGGCCCCGGTGCAGGTATCAGACACCAACATCACATATTTACATGCTATGTTAAAGCATAACTTATTGATAAATTATTAACCGCCGAATTTGACTGATAATTAATAAATTGGTGGCGAAATTAAAAACTTATTCGACTCACAAAGCCGATGAATCAGTCTCAAATATATCACCCTATCTATGTATCTTATTAACGCAGGCGGAATAATTAGCTTCTCGATAAATGACCAGCTTTCTGATTACTTGAGCGACGAGTTACAGAAAGTGGGAAATAGCGGTTGGCGATTCTTATCGTCGTTCACCGATCACTTTGATCCGAGTCTGGTGAAGGTCATTCTAATACGCAGGCGTAACGTTCGCAGAACATCCCCAACAGGATCGTGAGCGGGCCCGTGCCCTCGCTGGTGGTGACGAAGACGTACATCAAGAACAACCAGAAAGGCGTGTTCGCGTCCTACTACAATCGCTACCTGAACGAGATCGGGGACTACTTCCTGCGGAAGGCCAACGAGAGCATCCAGCTGATCGGATGCGACATCTCGCACAATCACGAGGAGGCCGTTTACGTGTACTCACCGTACTGGAACGTCCACCACACGAACATGTCCGAGATCTCCATTCACATCAACAGCAGTTTGGTCACGTACAACGGCAAAGGCGTGCGTCAGTTCAGCCGCGACGCCAGGCACTCCAACAACCTCTTCCACTGGATCATGCAGGACAGCACGGTCGAGTGGAACCGCGGCGGCGGCTTCGAGGTGCTGCTGCCGGACGTGTGGCAGTACAACGAGAACTTCACGCACTCCCTGTACTTCGCCAACAACACCTGGCGCAACAACGAGCTCTTCGGCTTCGTGGTGGACGGCCACTTCGCGCGGCTCAACATCTCGCACAATCGCTTCGAGAGCAACCGCTGCAAGACCGGGCTGATATCCGTGCGCGGCATGGAAAAGCAAATCAGAATCGACAACAATCGCATCGACGGCAACACCGGCGCCTACATGGTCGAGTTCCGCGCGAACAGCCAGTCCGAGATCCTCGGCAACGTGTACGCGCACTTTTATTACAACGAGGTCAAGCGGAACCGACACGAGGCCGCCGGGCCGTCGCGTCGCGCGACTCTCGACGATCCCAGCTACGTCGTCGGCTTCCACGGGATACAGAAGGTGCGAATCAACCGGAATCTCTTCGGCGACAACTCGCTGGATTACGAGCTGCTGGCCGGCATCAGAACGGCCAAGATTAACAACGAGGTGGACGTCATGCAGAACTGGTGGGGCACCGCGGAGGACGCCGGTATAAGGTGAGGACTGTTGCGTGGTGAATATTATCCGGTTGGTCTCGACAAACTTGTCGCGGATGGTTCTGCAACGAAGTCCCGGTGAAAAAGTGCCCCGGGTTCTTCCGCACTATTTCTCAGAATTTCGATGAAAATTTAAAGATTTCCTTGGAATCTTTCAGATTTTCTTATTTTTCTTTTTTACTTGCGAATTGGAACGTTCCTCGGGAAAACTCGGACGGGAAATTCTGAGGGAAAGTTCTGAGAATATTCCTGAGAATATTACATTATATATTTTCCGGGTGGTGATCGTGTGGCTTTTTCTTGGGGGGGNGGGGGGGGGGGGGGAGGAACATGGAAAGTGAAAAGTTACATGATCGCTGCTTGACTCGATGAGCTCATCTCGAGATTCGCTCGAAACAAAATTCACACGCGAGTTCTTTCGCAGACGGAGAATCTTCGACTTTGATGATTGGAACGACCATGCGGTGGCCAATTACACCCCGTATCTGATGACCGATTCGTTAGACTCGTCCATCTCCGCGTCGTGGCGCATCAGCCAAGAGATCGACCTGGACAATCTGGGCGGTCGCATCATCGAGAACCTGTCGTTGCACGCGAGATCTCAGCCCTACGTCGTGCGTTCCGACATCACGGTGATGCCGGAGGCAACTCTGTACATTTATCCCGACGTCGTGATGGAGTTCGCCCCCAACGTCGGCATCCTCGTCTTGGGAACGCTGAAGGCCGTCGGTGTGCCCGGCCATGAGATCATAATGCGGCCGATGAAGCGAACGGCCGTGAACAACTCCGCCAATGCGCTCAGAAGTCCCGATAATTCAGCCAATCTCGTCGCGTTGCCGAATGAAAAGATCCGTTTGTGCAAGGACGGCCATTGCTCCGCATCGTACAACGAAGGTAAGCCGTGTGCCAACACCTTGTTTACGAACAGATTTAATAGTTGCCCTAAGTACGACACTTTCTTCATTCATTCATGACTTATCTCGGATTTTGCATTCGTTACTTTGTGCCACGCGCATTTGTTATTTTATATCTTGCATCTCATTTATTGCTTACTATTTGCTATGCCTTTTGCTCACTTACAATTTGCCATTTTGCATTTTGTTCAATTATCATAATTTGCCATTTTACATTTTTGCTCCATCGCTATTTGCCATTTTGCATTTTGCTCGCTCCCAATTTCTTATTTCGCACTTTGCTCGTTTGTAATTCGCATTTTGTTCCTTGTTAATTCACCGTTTCGCTCACCGTCACTTCGTCGTTTTGCATTCCTCGGGTTTATCTACGGTACCGCGTCTCACTCTTACCCGACGAGTTCCCGCGAGTTTCCTTCTCTCTCACGCTTCCAGGCTTTCTGGAGTACTTCAACAAAACGACCCTGCAATGGATGCCGATATGCGACGACCGGTTCACCGAGCGCAACGCCCAAGTGGCGTGCCGGCACCTCGGCCACGACACCCTCAATGTCTACGTGTCGTACGGGCGCAGGTACGAGCTGCATCCCGGCTCGCTGACGCGCGTCTGGTCTTGGCCGGAGCCGCTGCAGTGTATCGGCAAGGAGCAGAGCCTCGATGACTGCCAGATACGGCTGAACGGCCAGATGTTCGGCCATCGTCACGAGTGCCCGTGGGACGGCCGGTTCGTCTTCCTGCACTGCGGCGAGCGCAACCTGGACGAGGAGCACGATTACTGGGGCGGGATACGCATCGCCAACAGCAAATTCGAGCATCACCTGTTCGATCACCGCTACCACGACATCGTTACGCACGAGAACAGGAGGCGCGTTGAATCGGTCCTCAGCTTCGTCAACATCACCGGCGCCGGGATCCTGCATCTGGAGAAGTCCGCCGCTGTACAGTCGATCATGAAGTCCCCGGCGATGGCGCACGTCAATATCGACCGCAGCGCTTATCACGGCATCAACGTCGTGTCTCCCACGCACACGGTGGAGCTGCTGTTCAACGCGATCAGCAACGTCCTCGGCAACGGCGTCAACGTACTGTCCCTGACCGGCGAGGGCCGCGAGGCCGACGAGAGCTCGTTCACGCCGCTCAAGGACCTCAATATCCCCTATCACTTGTTCAGCATGGTCGACATATGCGACACCACCAAGGAGATCGAGATCGAGGAGCGCGTGATCGTCTATTACAAGTACGACAATTACCCGGTGAACTGCGTCAAGATCTTCCGCAGCCCCGAGAGGTCCAAGCCGTTCGGATTCAGGTGAGCGGTGCTCCTCCCAGGCCACGTGAATGTCGAAGATAAAGACAACCAGCGGGACGTTATATACATAAAATGTATTAATATATACATTGTTTTTGCAGACTCTTGCAATTTAATCTGTACAACTCCACCGGGAAGCCCGGCCGCGCCGACGGTATCACCCTGTACGACGGCGACATTTACAACATCACTTCCAGGAAGATAGGCCACCTGGAGGTCAACTCGGCGGACGAGAAGAAAATGTTCAAGACGCAGGAGCCGAGCCTGAGCGTGAGGTTCTTCGCGAACGGCGCCAGCAACACGCACGGCTTCATCGCGGAGATCGTGACTCTGCCGATATCCGCGATCGGTTTTAATCGCGACGTTCAGCACAACGTCTCGTATTCCGCGATATCGGCATGCCGGGAGGGCGCGGTCAAGTACGCGAGCGCCGGCGAGGTGAACGCCATAATAACGCTCGAGCGCAATCAGTTCGTGGGGAACTGCGAGAAGCTGTACGGCAACTTCACCACCTGCAAGTCCGCGCTCTGGTTCGACGTCCAGAACACGCAGTCGCTCTACTTCAGGTACAACCTGGTGCAACGGAACCAGGGCGGCCTTTCCATTCGCGCCGACTCCAGAGGCTCGGCGACCTCCCTCAAAGCGTGGATTCACAATAATCTCTTCGCGGAGAACTTCAACAAGCCCGCGTTGTAAGTACAATATCATTAGGTAGCCGGAGTTTCTAAAAGAGACGCCTTGAAAACATCTGAATCGACACCCCGATCGAGTAGGACGTCTTTTAGACGTCTTTGATACGTCTTTAAAGCCCCTTTTCGAAGTTCCCGCTTATCTAGGATAATATCAATGTATCATCATCATCATCATTGACGATATTATAATATCAAGATCACAATATCGTGATTCGGCGTCGCTCGGTAAAACCTCCTTCACGCGCTCGTCGCAGGTACGTCGAGGGCCGGCAGAGCAGTCCTTATCAGGAGGTGACGATATTCCGGAATTACTTCACGAAGAACAACGCTCCCTACGAGAACAACATCGTGCTGAAGCAGGTGGTGAGCAACATGACGCTGAATTATCTGCACGGGAACCTCGGTATGCACCTGCTGGAGATCTCCGGCTTCGAGAAGGTCCGTCTGCGCATTTACCAGAGCACGTTGCACAACGGCTTCTACAAGAACTACGCGGTGGACCGCGCGGGCCGCAGCACCGTCGTCGCCGGCACACCCGGCCAGCTGTACGTCGACAACGTCTTCTTCAACCCGGACAACGATTACGAGATGCTGACCACGAACAGGTCTCAGCAGCTGGAGATATGGCTGTCCCACGTAGACGCGCGGCACAACTGGTGGGGTTACAACGAGACGCTGGCGGTGGCGGGGCGCATCAGGGACCGCGGGGACTCGCCCGAGCTGCTGCAGGTCGATTATCAGCCCTTCCACATGAACAACAAGTCGGTGCTGAGCGGCAAATGCCCGCCGGGCTGGGACCTCGTCGGCGACACCTGCTACATATTGATCGGCGCGCCGATGGACTTCTACAGCGCCCGGGACTTCTGCCGATCGGCCAACGCCTCGATGCCGTTCATCATGGGCGATTACCTGGAGCTGTGGAAGTTCGCGCGCAGGCAGCAGGAACGATTCGACTACTCGGAGCGCGTGTGGGTGCAGCAGCTCGAGCGGCTGGACCAGTGCACGGTGTTCACCTACCAAACGATCGAGATCGACCACTGCGCCCAGCCGAATCCGTTCATCTGCGAGATCGACCCGAGGGTCAACATCGACCCGCTCTCGTGGCGGAAGGACATCGTCGCGGTCGGCGTCCTGGGAGCGGTCGGTTTCGCGCTCGCCCTCCTCACCACGGCCATCGCCCTCTGGGTGTCCAAGTCGAAGAAGCGGAAGATCGAGAGGCTGGAGCGACGGAACTCGATCCGCCAGTCCCTGCACTCCCTGAGGTCGGTCGGCTCCACCACCGGCTTCACGGAGCTCGCCTACAGGCGAAAACCCATCGCGGTAAATATCCTGCTTTCTTTTTCTTTCTGCATTCACCGTGTTACCTTACGGCGTATTTGTGGCTTCTTCGTTCCTCTCCGGCCGCTCGGCGAGATTTGACCGGCAATCCGAGCCTTTCTTTCCTCGGCTTTGGCATTTTATCGACTTGTCAGGCCCCGTTAATTAGTCATTACTTGAAACTATCTCATGTGACATTTGGATTTGCATTTGTAATGAGATGGGCCTTTCAGTTGAGTATAATACATTTTATATATATGTATATTACAATTAAATTACATACGGAGTGTCCCGTTTTAATTGGAAACCGGATGTTATCTAAAAGTGAATATGAGATATTTTATATCTTCTACTGAAAAATATCCGGACAAAAAGTAAAGTATCACGAAAAGTACTCATTCTCGTGCTTTTATACGCAGAATGAACGAAGCGGTCGATTTGTGTTAGAAAACAATGCGACTTCATCTAAAGAGACGAAGTTGACTTGGAAATGACCTTTAATTACATACAACGAAGATCAAGAATCACCATGCACGCCGTGCACCACGCCTGCTTTCAGACTAAACACTCCACGGACACGCTGAACTCCAAGTCGCTGGACTACAGGCGCATGCTGAACGGCGGCAGCCTGGACTCGATGGACAAGTCGCAGCTGAACTCCTCCATCGAGGACAGCCAGAGCTACGACGTGTACGAGGCGCACAATCCGCGCTACTCGCCCAGCACCAGCGAGGCGTACAAGAGCGGCAACACCGGCCAGCCGAAGTACGCCGCCGCTCAGAGCGTCGACAATCCGGTGTTCGACCTGGCTTACCGGAACGAGGGCTTCCGCCATCACTCCACCTTCGCCGCGAGGAACGCCGACGACAACACCGACTGGGCCTCCCAGCCGAACGTGCAGTCGACCTCGCAGGACAGCCCGACGCGGGACGTTCACAACGAGAGCTCGTCGTACCTCAACAACGCCTCGACGTTGCCGCTCCACTCGAGCATCGCCCTCAGCGACTCGATGAGCGAGCTGAAGCAGGACATCGAGGCGTCGGCCGCCTACGACCCGGTCGATTACGACCCGAGGCGCACCTACGACACGGCCACGTTGACGCCCAGCCAGGCGTCGGAACCGGTGCCGGAGTACCCGTCGGACTTCCAGCCGCCGATACCGCCGCATCCGTACCGCTACGAGGACAGCAGGCCGCGTAGCGAGGCGCTCTTGGAGACCAACTTCGACACGAGCGAGGAGCGGCCGCTGCGTTCCAAGAGCGAGGCTCTCCTCGAGACCAACCTCGACGCGTTCCTCGTCAGCGAGCCTACGGAGCTCACGCAGTTGTCGGCGGGGGCGCGCAGCAAGAGTCAACCGCTGGAAACGGCGATGTGAGCGCGCTCGGCTGCACTCGCGTCGACCACGGCGTTGTATGACACACGCGCCGGTTGACACCCACCGGCTCGGCCCACCCATCGGTGTGACGAATCGAATATGTAGCGACGATCAAAGCACTGCCGGCTTGCGAGCGAAGCTCGCACAATGAGAGACTCTCCCGGGAAAATACGACCACAAGTCGTTACTTGAAAGTTGCGTCAGACCAGAGACGAGTGAGACGTTCAGACAGCGCGAACTTCTGAAGGAACTCTTAAAGATGTCTCCGAAGAACGACTGAGATAAGTAAAACGTCCCTTGGACGTCTTTGAGACGTCTCTTAAGGCACGTCCCGCGTGAAGCGCATAGACATCCAGCGCATGAAGTCCGTCCCCTTTCTCCAGCATATACTTTGTACGCTGATCACGTAGAGTTGCCATAAACTGGCCTCGGTCGCACGTGAGGGGAAGACGCACACAAAGCGCGTGCCGTGTAGAGACAAGTTTCAAGTAACGACTTGATTGTTACGGACGTAAGATGTCTTAAGATGCCTTAAGTTGTTCTTTAGACGATAAGACGTTGAAATTTCACGTTGCCCGACGAAGTTGCGTCCGTACGAGCGCGACGCGAGTTTCACTTCGACGGATCGTTATTTATTATCATAACGACGTGCTATTTAATCCCAATTAGCGATCATCGGCGCTATCTGATCGCGCTGTTGACGACGACACCGTGATGGCACGAAACGAGCGATACGAACGAGTGAATTATGCCAGATAAGCTTGTAGATACTCTTTAGGTACTCTTTAGGGACAAATCGATCGTTAATGTTACATTCCTTTTGGATATACGTATTATACGATTTATATGAGTATTGATCGTCGGGAAAAACGGGGGGGGGGGTTAATTATAGTTTCGTACTCGATATAAGAGAAAATGCGAGAGCCACGATTGAGTAATTTCACTGTCGCTGCGAAGCTGTGAGACCTCGAGGGACCTCATGTATTCTTAATCAACATCGCACGTCCACACGTTGTTCTTCGTCGAATCGTCAACGCTATTTAACGACAACAAACGAATTGTACGTGTCGGACTGATCGAAGGGTCCGTTCGCAGAGAAGAGGGGCGAGTTTTCCCTCCTTTTCTATCTGGTCAATCCGACGTTCCACGTTGACCACGTAAGAAGCCGGGAGTTACCAAAAAACAGTGACAAACTCGAGACTCGTATCACGCAACAACGTACACTGCCAGGTGTGTCCAATCCGAGCCTGCTTCGATTAAACTTCGAAGCGAGACGTACTTTAACACTCTCGAGTATCGATAGATCGATTGGCTAAATCGGTCGGTTTTAAGGTCCTTTTAAGTGATCACACCTTCCGGGAGGTGTCTCGTTGTGAGTTGCCGACGCTCCTCGCGCGCTTCGACCGCGCCCGGGGCTGCTCGCGCAAGCTCGAGCGCACAAGTTCGATCGAGATGCAGAAAAGCACCGCGCCACGGTGAGATTAACACGATTAATAATAATAATAATATTCGCGCCGCGGGAGCGCACGGGAGTGTTCTGGATTTCGCTCGGAGGGTGAAGCTTCACTCGCGCTGACGTAGACTTTTCGAACCGCCGCCTCCTTTTTAAGTAAGCTGATCTCAGCCGACTCGTCGTTGTCGAGAACATGTTTTTATATACCTGCCTTTACAGAACAAAGTATCCGTCCGTACCACGTAAGTTTAGCGGCAAGATAGCAATCGCCTCTTCCTGGCGGGGCGCGCGATAGACACAGGATGTCGTCCAGGCTGAATTCTCGCCACGGATAAGAAGATCCTCGCACGGAGAAAACGAGTTGCTGCCGGGATAAAGCAAATTGTCTGTTAATATTGTGAAAAGATTCGTTACACGGAAAAGATCATTTTGCTGTTGTGTCGCAAAACCGTCATTGCTGCAGCGTCGTTGCGTCACTATATTGAACAAACATTCGCTGTTGTAGCAAATTTTGTTTTCTCCGTGTGGGATCCTTTTTTTTTTTTGGAGGGGGATTCTTCCCCCCAAGGACACTCGCGTACCTGGAACATCCTGTGTGCAGTCGGCGTCGTCTATGCTGTACCATTCCTTAGATCGAGTTTACGCCAGGCTTGTTCTTTTTAGCTGAACTAGCGCTGTAATGAACTGACTTTGATCTTTTTCTTATGCTGGATTACATGCTCCCAGAGAACTCGAAGACGTCCTGAGGACAGTAAAACGTCCATCGTTACGACGTAAACGATATCTTGGAGACGTCTTTTAAATAATTCTATATGTTGTGCAGATTGTTTCATTTTAACGGCGAAAAGTACGATCCAGTTCAATTAAAGAGAACAAACCTGCAATTTTCAGTCTTATACACATATATACGCGTAAGGTAAAAAAAATTGTTATAATTAGTTATAATTTAGTAACCGTTATATATATTTAATTTTATTTTATTTTTAGAGCCTTTATATAACCCTGTCACATTATAATTGATAGAGTTACTTGTGCGATTTTCAACCTTATGGATCACATGTACAAGGCTGAAAATCGTGTGATTTTCCGTCTAGGGAATGATACGTAAGCATACATGCGTGACGCCGAATATGCAGGGTGTTGCATCTAAGATAAAAACACCAGTGTACGGACACGTACCTAACTCTGGGCATTCCTGTTGTTTTGATCTTTAAAAATAAATCTTTAAATTTTAAAAATAAAATATATGCATGTGTGTGTGTGTGTGTGTCTATGTATATTCTATGTTGAAAGTTTAAATAATTCATAGTTTAAATTTTATGCCCATCAAGGCTTATTGGAGCCGCTTTCAATCACGTGTACCCTTGTATCTTTGCACTGGTAACCCAGCGTACTGCTCTGTATGTAGGTGCAACATCCTGTACGTAAGTGTGTGTGTTATGTATGAATGATATGTAGTGCCTATAGTCGAACGTGAGATCATCTACGGCGTAGAATGCGCGTTTGACGAGTATCTTCGCCATAAGTTGCGTAGATCTCTCTTAGCGGTAGCGTCGAAACTTCAGTTTCGACGAGCTTAACTAATGAAGAAGGAAAGGGTTTACTTAGGTCTCGTCGCACGTTCTCTCTCATAGGCACTCGCGTGAATGGAACAATGATATCACAAGGCTGCCTTATGTATATTTGAGAAATAAAGCGAATAAATCAAGTAAATCCGACAGGATTCGAGTATCATGATCATTCGCCTTCAGGAGAATTCACAATTAGATTACGTACTAGGCCTTGTTCTTTTTTACGTTTTTTTTTATCTGCACTGGAACGTTGTTTCTTTTCTCTTCAAAGTTCGATTAGACATGGTGAAGCAATGGCTATTATCATCTTGAATATCTTCGGAATACGATTGAGTAGAGGAGAAAACGAACTGTCTGAATGTAACGAATGATATAAATAAAGCAGGAGCACGCAAATTTTGCATCGATATATCAGTGGTCATCATTTCGAGCATCTTCCGCAAATGTAAGCTTTTTTCATCTTCGACATTCTTCTTCGATTTCATCTTCGAATGTCTGTCGACATTCTCCTCTTCCTTCTTGCAAACGCGTTTCGAACGACGAGGTGTGCCCATACAGAAACAATTCGGGAATAACACGTGCGGATGGCATCCGAGAATAAAATAGGCAGTGTCTTTCAAAACAATATCGAATATATTAATATTAATATCGTCAATAACATAATTAAATATCAGGTTACTATTCGTCGCAGCCGTTTTCTCGAGCCGCCAAAACGGATATTGGCGTGGGAGATTCTTTCTACGTCTTTTTCTCACTCTCTCTCTCTCTCTCTCTCTCTCTCTCTCTCTCGCTCTCTCTAACAGACGAAGAAAATCCGCATGCCACACTCAGTGTGGCCTCAGGACGCGGTTTACGTACCAACACATACTTAAACGGCTCCGTCCGCATTTCTCGCGTCTAAAGGACGCGCGACATGTATCTTCGGCTGAAGGATATGTAATCTTACGATTTTACAGATATGCATCTATTCGTGTGTCTTGCGTGTTGCGTTGTGTATGTGTGTAAATATATATTTATATATATATATCTATATGTGTGTGTATGTGTATATATATATATATATATATATATGTATATACAATTTTCTAATATAACTATATATATATATACTCTTAGAGGAGGCTCATATCGAGATCGCCTAGTCAGGTACCTCCGGATGCGTTCGGATCGATTGATACGCTGTCACTGTCCAAGACAGTTTTCTCTCTAAGGTGACTCGGCTACAGAATCGCATCGCTACGACGCGAAATAGCCACGACGACAGTGAGAACAATCATGATTAGAACAATCATCAATGTCTACTCGTCGCTTGAACAAATACGCCGCGCGTCCGCTCTCACCGACGGGAAATTACACAATTTGCTATTCTCTATATTATTCATCGACTCAACATCCCCCCTTTCCTCCGCATATATATATATANTCTCTCTCTCTCTCTCTCTCTCTCTCTCTCTCTCTCTCTCTCTCTCCATATATTATTACTCGATAAAAATACGTCTACGTATCGTCGTCCGAGGAAAGAAAGCGGATGAAAATGAGGGGAAGGAGGGCCACCCGACCAAGTCGACCGTCGGTGAGACCGGAGACGCCGACTTCACATCCGCCGTTCATCAGATCTCCTCAGCGCATCGGAGGCGCACCTGTACGATCTCTATTGCACAAGTTACCACGAAGGAGAATTATTACAAACTATTGCACCAATCGTGCGTGATCACACGTACGGTAACGACACAACGCACGAGCACCAATGGGGATATCTCGCATTGCACAGGTCTCGTTTGCCGTCGGAGCGGAGCTCCTCGTCGTCGTGCCCACGTCGTCGCGCTCGTCGGCGCACTGAAGCGCGCGGGTCGTCGCGAAATTGCGTTTTAGGGAAAAGGGGAGAAGAGGGAGAAAGAAGGGAACCCCCGACGGGAGGAAGGGGTCTCACTTCGGCCCGCTCGCGCGCGTGATCCCTAAGTGGCCGGTCAGCTTCGTTGCGAGGGGGGTTGGGAAAATCGATGGATCGTGCGAATAAAGGAGTTGCACCGAACAGTAGTATAGTACTTGATTGAAATACGAATGCAGACGTCGCACGAGGAAGCCTGCGTACACTCGAAGTTAAAAAAATGCTCGACTCAGTAAAAAAGAAACAAGCAACACGCTCCGGAAAACGTAAATATAAAAATACAATGCTCTAAAAAGCAAAGTTAAGAATTTCATATTTTTGTATATAAAAATATATACAAAGGTATAAATGATATAAAAACATCTTTTCTCCCCTATCGGAAGTGTAATTCTATAATATATATAATTCAAAATATAATTATGAAGTTAATTTTCTTCTCGTGACATTACTTGATTGTATGTGTATATATATGTAATATCGAAATGGAAGATCAAATTCATTTTCTGCGTCGAGGCTTTTTGTACTAACGCATCTCGTCATCATACTTTTTGCACTAATAAAGCGCCCGCCTCGCCTTTATTCGCACGTCCCACGAGACATCACTCGACGTGTCGCCTTCAACTCGGGGATGTGACTTCGGCGCGAGTCCGACGCTGTACTGAACTTTAAGGGGATTCATCAATCGCGTATCGTTTTCGGCTGACGATCACCGGAACACAATATGTATAAATGATACACTTCGCTTGAGCGTACGAACTTAAATTAACAGCCGCGACGGGATTGGCGAGTGTGCGATCCCGCGACTGCGTTAGGCAACCGAGGTCCTCTCGGTTACCGCGGAAACAACCACTGTCCTTTCATACATTTACGTTAAACTAGAGTAAAGAGAATAACCGGGTTCCCGCGCTCCCGGCGGACCAGCTCGCGTCGGCCGGACTCGCGCGAATCCGAGATAATCCGGTGTAGTCGAGCTATACAGCGGCTAATCTCTCGTCAGCCGGTGCCGTTCGTTCAACGACTCGCTGCGGCGTTTCGAACGACACTTTATTTATGTATCTATATACTTCTATATATATGTATCGTAAGATTCACTAAGTGCTGATTCGTTAATTAATATATGTATCGGTATAATGTGTGTGTGTGTGTGTGTGTGTTGTGTGTGTGTGTGTGTGTGTGTGTGTGTGTGTGTGTGTGTGTGTGTGTGTGTGTGTGTGTGTGTGTGTGTGTGTGTGTGTGTGTGTGTGTGTGTGTGTGTGTGTGTGTGTGTGTGTGTGTGTGTGTGTGTGTGTGTGTGTGTGTGTGTGTGTGTGTGTGTGTGTGTGTGTGTGTGTGTGTGTGTGTGTGTGTGTGTGTGTGTGTGTGTGTGTGTGTGTGTGTGTGTGTGTGTGTGTGTGTGTGTGTGTGTGTGTGTGTGTGTGTGTGTGTGTGTGTGTGTGTGTGTGTGTGTGTGTGTGTGTGTGTGTGTGTGTGTGTGTGTGTGTGTGTGTGTGTGTGTGTGTGTGTGTGTGTGTGTGTGTGTGTGTGTGTGTGTGTGTGTGTGTGTGTGTGTGTGTGTGTGTGTGTGTGTGTGTGTGTGTGTGTGTGTGTGTGTGTGTGTGTGTGTGTGTGTGTGTGTGTGTGTGTGTGTGTGTGTGTGTGTGTGTGTGTGTGTGTGTGTGTGTGTGTGTGTGTGTGTGTGTGTGTGTGTGTGTGTGTGTGTGTGTGTGTGTGTGTGTGTGTGTGTGTGTGTGTGTGTGTGTGTGTGTGTGTGTGTGTGTGTGTGTGTGTGTGTGTGTGTGTGTGTGTGTGTGTGCGCGCGCGCGTGCGCGTGTGTATCTTTCTCTCTAAGTCGGAAATGAACGCGAATTAACAAACGAAACGATAAAATTTGCCCGGAAGGGGGGGGGGGGCGAGAGGAGGAAGCGAGAACTTAACGGAAGACTTTTGTAATATTTGCTGTTGTCGTGCACGATTTCGCGTTTTTAACGTAAAGAAACGCGAGAACGCCGTCGCGACACTCTCGACGGCGCACGCGCGTTGAAAGACATTATAAAGAGCGGACGAACGTTCGGGAACGAACGAAGGAACACGGGGACACGCGGGGATTAAATGATGACTCGAGTTCGCGAACGCGATGATACACAGAGGATAGATTTAAAATATATATATATATACATACGTACGCGTGTGTATCCGCACACACGTGCATACATACGTATAGGAAAGCGTACGTATTGTGCAGATACAGGGTATCCCGTGGCTGATGTGCAATCGGAGAGTGGGTGATTCTACGTGAAAAAATGCGCACGGAGACGGCGTACAGCGCGAGGTCACTTGATTCCAGACACACTGCCGAGTGCACGCGCACCCGACGAATATTCCAAGTTGTCTTTCACGAAAACGAAGCCCCGTACGAAACAATTTCTTCCGTGGAGTTTTGCGTGAAAAGAAATCCTCCCGAAGAAGACGACAGAATTTGCTTCTGAAAAATTTCGTACGAAGAGATTTCTTCGGAAAAATATCGTGTCAAGCAATTTCTTTGGAAAAATTTCGTACGGAGAAAATTTCTTCTCAAAAGTTCTGTACAAAAAATTGTTTCTGAAGAATCTCGTATGAAGAAAATTCGAAAAAGTTTTGCACAAATTTCCCTCTGAAATATCTCGTATAAAGAAATTCCTTTTGAAAATGTTCGGACGAAAAGATTTCTTCGGAAAAATTTCACATGAAAGTTTCCTTCGGAAAATTTTCGAAGAAACGAATAATTAAATGCCTTTAGCTTATTTTCTTCGCGTGGAATCACACCACTCCGCCCGGCTGTGCCACCACGAGTTACGGGACACCCGTTAGATGCGTACGTAAATTTTCATCATCTTAAAAGCTTAAATTAACTAACATATATACGTAAAGCGGGTGCCGTGTAAAATCCGAAGGGATAAAAAATTAACGCAGAGAGGCGCACAGCCCGCTATGGCGCTCCACGCTCGGCTTCGACGGAAGATCGAGAACGCGCTGTTCAAGGCGACGCTCGTCCCTCCACTTCGAACGCGAGTTGAGGGCGCGCGGGCTGCGCCCCTGAAAACATTGTCCGTCGCACTCGCTCGCACTCGGCGCGACCGGCGCAAATAATTCATATCTACGATCCACGTATAATTTACACAGTGGGACTCGTCGAATCCGAATCAATCGAATTCTATTTTTCACTCGTCACCGGCAACCGTCGTCACAGAGTGGGGCGTTAGCAGAGTGACACACCGCGAGAGAATGACGATAGAAGAAAAAAAAAAACATAGAAAGAAGAAAAGTAAAAAAGAAGAAAACGCGGCACTCAAACCGTTCACAAGGAGGCGGGGAGGGGGTATCGGAACAAACGACGAGAGAGAAACGACGCTGCTGTGCGTGAATGCGACGCACAACCGGCCCTTATCTATCTCTAGACTAGAAAGAAACGCGCCGCTCTCTCGCGCGCAGGCGACGCATCATACGAAGATTTCACATACACGTAGGGCGAAGGTTCGGCCCCCGGAGAAGAGAGGAATTCCCGCGGAGAGCGTGAGAGACTTACGCGTCGCTCTGCGGACACAAACACGGTTCTTTTCTTCCCTCCTTTCGTGAACCCGGCGAAGGAGTTTCCCGCTCTCTTCCCCCTTTTCCGCTCGGCTTCTCATCCGTCACACTCTCCCGCGCGCGATACAACATACCGTATACATACATACATATCAGCGGTGTGCGAGGTCTCTCATTAAAAAAAAAAATAAAAAAAAAAAATGCTAAAGTCGCTCGTCGACGTGACGGAGACAGGATTTTGTGCGCGGTTGCTCCGTCGGGAGCTTGTTTTATCTTGCCGGTTTTCAGCGCGAAAAGCGTGGACACGCGAGAGAGAAACGAGGAGACACGGGGCTGTCCGCTCGTCTCGGCCTGGGATTAACAACGACCTACGAGGCAAGGAACCGGGTCAAGGATCGGCAAGAGGGTCCTCTCCAGGCGGATCAAACCATGAAAACCTCGACGAAGGGATTGCACTCGGTCTGCGGCGGTGGCAACGCGGCCATCCGCTTCTCCAGCTCCACCCGCGGCAGGTACGCCTCGATACGCGCGTCAGCCGCCGTCGGGGTGGACGTCGGCACCGTCGCCCCGGGCGCTAGCTGCAGACATTCCGCTGGTGCCAACTGAAAGCACGAGAGATTTCGAAAGTTGGGACAACGTCGACGGTCGATAGTATCAAATAATCGCTAGTCGACGAAGCGACGAAAGTATCTCGAAGAGTAATTCGATTACTAACGCTAAACGTTCGGTATTCAACTCTGAAACGGCGGCCGGGTTACTTTTTGAAACGTGAAAAAACGAAATGTTTCTATAGTTCGAAATTTATTTTCAATTTTAATTGATTCAATCGATTTAAATTTGAATTAACGCTCGACAAGTTGAATGACATCTAAATCCGTCGAGTTCGCGTGAAACTCTTCACCTTTCACGTTTCCACTCTCAAGGGAAAGTTACACGACCGCTGCTCCGAAGAACACAGCGGAGAGGTGAACTGTCTTCGTTCAGATCTCAGCCAGACTTTATGGGCACTGAATATTTGTAAAGGCTCCGTGAATTCAATCGAGTCTTACTAAGTAACAGAGATCGAAGTCGAAATTAAAAATTTCAATTTCAATTTTTATAAATATCAAAGAATTATTTTAAATCTCGATTTTGACAAGGAAAGTTATCGCGTTCGTAGGATAAAAAATAATTTGATAATTATTTTAAAAACATGGCGGACTCCCGTTCATGTCTCCAGTTCGCTAGACGAAAACGTCAGAATCTCGAAAATATCAGAATGATACACTGAGAGAGGAAAAGTGTCGAAAAAGTAAACGTTATTCATTCGGTGGGTGCTGATATTTCGATTAATAAGCACGAGTTGTTAGACTCTTCAATGAATATGTATCGTTATCTTAAGTGAAGGATTTCTTTGAAAGGAGAAATAATTCTCCTATGAAGAAATGATTACTCGTTGACGAGGTTTCACTTACCAGGGCCGCTTGCTGAGGGATCGGCGCGATACCGCTGACACTCGCGGGAGTGTAATAATTGGTCGGACTGACCGGCGGCGATGGGTAAGGCCAGTAGAAGATAGGCGGCGGATACGGCGTCGCGAATTGCGGCGGGCCGCGCGGTAACATCGCGGCCGCAGGTGGGAATATGGCTACCGGTGGCGGCGGCAACATCGTGCCTCCTACAGAAAGAAGAACATGTTGTAAACGCTCAACGTTCAGACACGAACGAGACGACGACGATTCGAGCGCCGTTTTCGACTCGTACAAGACACAGGCAGGAAGGCACGTATTGGAATTTGTCCGTGAAAAAAAAAGAAAAGCGCGAGCGTCTCGATCTGACGTAGAAAACTGACTGAGAATCCGTCTTAGAATCTTGGAGAATCATTTGATCTCTCGCGGAAGGTCGCGAGGAACATCGCGTCCGGCGGATCTCTCGGGCGGGATCGCACGGAGATTGTGATAGAAAAAAAAGGAAATTAAAAAAATGAAAATTAATCGTGTCGTTCGCAAAGAGAGAGAAACAAAAGAGACTTGTAGTACCCACGATTGACCGTCTATGTATGTACAAACGTAAAGAAGAGTGCCCACTAATGTAACCACTCCACAATTACGACGAGTGACATCGTGCAGATCCGCAGGAGTTTCTAGAAGCACACAAAGCGATCGTTTAGTACTAGTAATGCGCCAAGTATATGTGTGTATATATATATATCAGTCGGTCATAATCAACGTCTAAGTGTCCGCGCGTCTAAGAAAGTGAATTAGTGCTTTCTCTCTCTTTCTTTCCCGGTAACAAAAGAGAGGTTGCCACCATCCCAAGTCCCGTGAGTTCGCGCAACCCTCGTCGCGCCGATCCGCACGATTTCACTTTCAACTTAGACCGCCCTTGTACGGTACGTGCAAAGTAATCTCTCGCGAGGTGACACGCCGGCGAGGTGTCGGCACTTTCGGCGAGTTCAACGGCGAATCTGAGATTTCAACAGTCGGCTAAAGGTGAGTGCACACTGAGCGAATAAACGGCGTGCGATAAATTCCCGTTTAAACGAACTTTCCTCGATGAACCACCTTAGGAGCGAATCGACACGAAACGTTCGTTATGGCGTACGCATTCTCCAAATTGTAACAGCGCAAATTTGCGTTCGTTCCTCGTGGGTGTACGCTCGGCTCGAGAAGAGAGCTTCGAGCGAATTCGAAATGGTTGAGCCACGAAATCTCGTCGCATTCGCCCGGAACGTACAAGAGACGGTCGTCCGAAGGAATAATGATTTGGACTTGTCCTACCTGAAAGCACGGAAGTTAGTATTTGTAGGTCCCGCTACCATAACAGCAATCGACACTGCACCATTGTAACACGATATATATATATGTATATCTTTTTTTTATATATATATATATGTAATATGCAGCACCAACTTGCGATTTCGCCCCTCTGCCAAATCACCAGATACACGCAGATTCTCTCCCTTTCACTCACTCTTTCTCTCTCTCCCTTTCTCACCCCTTTCCTACTCTCCCTTTCCTTCCTCTTTCTCACCCTTTCTCTCTCACCCTCTCTCTCTCTCTCTCTCTCTTCCTCTCTCTCTCTCTCTCTCTCTCTCTCTCTCTCTCTCTCTCTCTCACTTCCTTCTCTCTTTTGCCCAGCGAAAAAGCCATTTTGCGTGCGACTTCTTATCGTGATCAGGCGACGAAAAGTAAAGCCTATCGTACGCGTATCGTTTTATCACCTTTGGTTAATTTGCCAGAAACACTATACGTTCTGTTGACAGAAAATTCTCACGTCTCGCACAGAGAAAAGAGAAAATCTCTTCAGATTTAACCGATTTCTTTAATTGAAACAAAGTCTCTCGGATTGGAGCAAACAAATGTTTAATTCAACGAATAAGATTGTTTCATTAGTTTCTCAAACAATAAATATCTTTACGTTGAATAATATATATATATATATATATTTTTTTTTTGTATTCTTATCTAAACATTACAATGGTTGTTATGAATAAAGAAATTATTCGAGAGATATAAGACACGCTATATTAGAAAAATATTAAAGGACTCTTTCTTTTTTCCAGTAGAACAATATTTAATAATAAAATGTTCACATGATAAAATACATTTTCCTATTAGAAACCAAATATCATTTTCTCAAAATAATATAATACTGTCTTTTATATCCAAGAACATGATTTACTCTAATTGAAACAACGACATTTTCGTTCAAACGGAATGATATTTAATATTAAATTATATCGTTTATATATTAAACAAGATCTAAGTCAAGCAAACACGTACACTGAATCCAAAGAAACTTCTTTTTCCGTGCAATTATATACAGTTACGCTCGAAAACGGCTGATGTGAGACGGTCATCGACGACATACACGAAGTTTCCGACAGCGTTTCGGTGAATATCTGAACCATGAGAATGTGCGAATAAAGAAAAAAAAAGAATACGATAAAAAGTAGCAGTCTTTTGAGACAAATTACGCTGATAAGCGGATAGACGTGATACGAGTAACAGGCAGTACATTTCGCGCGATTCAACGCGTATCGTGGATCTGAGAGGATCGTTTGCGGGGGAAGAAGAAACGTGACACACGATATACGGGAGAGAAGTGAAGATATGCTAGACTACCGTTAGTCTCTAGGCCGCGCTGGGACGATCGGCATAGCGAAAAGCAATGGCTCAAAGACACTTGCCACATTGAGGGGTGACTTCCGGTGTATCGTTTGACTCGGAGTAACTCGAGAGCTCTCGGTTTCCCGGTGAAGCCGGCCGATGAAGCTCGGCGAGAATCGATACAAGGTCTGACAAAGAAACACCGGGAACCTGAACTCTTCAATTCGACTAAACTTTCGTGAACACGTAGAATCACTCAGACACGAATAACGGTATGCTTTAACTCAAATTCAAAAGGACGCGTTTTCGCAAATTATAACTCTCACATTACAGGAGATGGAAGAAAATGTTTAGGACAAACTTTTAGTGGCAAGTTACGAGCCACACATAAACGGAAATAAAAAGAATTCTTTTTATCTCTTCCTAGAAGAAAATTTTTAATTTCTGTTCATGTCATTTGGTAGCCCTTAAATTTGCCATTAAACTTTTATTCTCAACATTTTTCCCTGTTTCTTGTAGTTCCAGAGTAATACGCGAAAAAACGCCCTTTTAGAGGACGGAAATAGGCCGCGAATAAAGCATACCGTTTATTCAGGTCTTGAGTTTTTGTCTACATATCCATAAAAATTTATCGAAATCGAAGAGTTCGAGCTAGCGTGGTGTTTCCTTGTGAGAGAAACACGGACAAACAAGAAGACACACCAAAAGATTAGTCTTCCGGGGGTTGAAAAGGATTCACGTACAAAGAGAGAATCGGGCAGAGAGGGAGGGAGAGAGAGATAGAAAGAGAGAGACAAAGAGAGAAAGAGAATTAGAGAGAGAGAGAGAGAGAGAGAGAGAACCTTTGCGCGAGAGAAAGAGAGAAGGAGCAACAGGGAGAAAAAAAACAACAATTAAACAGAACGAGCAAGAGAAAGAGAGAGAGAGAGAGCTAAGTAGGATTATAACACAAAAATTTCCAAGTTGATCTGTAGATACCAAAGATACCTGTGACCCCAATGAAAAAAAATGTAATAGAACGGAACAACATACGATGGTTGCGGTCTTCGACGCGCGGTCTCTCCCACCGCTAGGCTCCATCGCGAGAAATCGCGAGAGTCTTCTCTCGAGCGTGTTAATCACCTAAATTGCGAAAACTACTGCGAGAAACCACTACGGGAACAAAACCCGCGGAAGGTGCAAGTACACGTGCGAAGGGGGACAAAGAAAGCCCGGGCGGAGGAGGGAAGGGGGGAGTAACAGGCGGGCAGAGACGAGACGCGAAGAGCGCAACCACCGTGCGGAGGTAATATAATCAGGGTAAGAGTCCACCAACCCGGCAAGCAAAAAGATATATATGTCCACAAGGCACATTTATTAAACATGATCGTTCTTATCGTCGATATAAAAAATCGTCGAGATACAAAGAGTGTGTGTGTGTGTGTGCGTGTATACAGGAGTTTAAAAAAAAAGAAAGATTTGTACCGACGTCGCGCGTGTGTGTGGTTGTGTGTATGTGTGTGTACGTGTGTGTGTGTATGTGTGTGTACGTGCGTATGCATGGATAATAAACGCGTATATGCCGCGCGCGTGTCGGACGTGTCCCCGACAATTATCAGAAAAATGTACGAGAGCAAAGGAGAATGCAAGATTTCAGCATTCGAACGAGAGGAGAAGCAACGTCTCGTCGACGAGAAGAGTGACGAGACCGAAGACGATGGGATTTCGCTTCAGCTTTGAGAGACGGAACTCGAAGATACGTCTCTCACGCGTCCGGCATACACTTGTACTAAAAAAAAAAAACACACACTCCTAAATGCAACCCCGAGACGGAAACGATGCGAAAGCGGGGAGGAGCTCGGTAGACGAGAGAGACGTGAATCTCGACACTTCGTGCGATATCAATTCGCTAGACAATTCGATCAATTTCGCATCGCCTCGCCTCTGTTTAACTATCTCTATGGTATCGATTATTAATGCTATGTCAAGCCGAATCGGAATGTGCGATCCCGATTCCACGGTATCTCAGAAATGCACGCCCCTGCTGAACGCTTAATCCCAGGACGCTAATCGGACGAATTATCGACGGATTACAGCCACGTGAGGCGATCTTTCTTCCTCTCTTTCTCTCCCTCTTTCTTATTCTTCCCATTTGAGTCCTCCTTCCTTAACGCGCCCGCGTGTCGCCGGGTAATTTCGCACTTTTTAGCGTCCTGCGACTAAAGGAACGATTATTTACTTGCGTAAATTGTGCTCGGCGTTCCTACACGAACGAACCCTCGGTTATCCCTCGAGATAACATACCACATCTCGAGCACGTTACGTTAATTAATACCAGAAACCGGATCGAGAGTGCGTCCAATTAATGACAGATACTGTTTTTGTTTTTATTTGCAGCTGCTATAACGGAAACAGAACTAAAAAGGGATTACACCAAGATTACTGCTACTCTCCGACCTCTATGCGATAATGCTACTGCGTCCTGTGCGAAAAAGTGGTCCCGTGGACGTGTGTGTGGGTGTGTGTATGTTTGTGTCCGAAAGATAATTGTGGGGGATTGCGCGCATGAGGGAAGAGAAACGGGAAAGAGAGAGAGAGAGAGAGAGAAAGACACAGACAGAGAGAAAAAGAGAGAAAGACATTCGCGTTCGTGAGGTTGCGTTGCAGCAGCGCGTCGGGAACGAGAGGAGGTACGTGAGGGACAACTTCCAGAGAGGAGACGACGTCCGGGCTGGCTGAAGAAAAGTTACAAACTATTATATATATATATATATATATATATGTATATGTATATATATATATATATATACACACACACACACGTGGTAATCACATGCGAAGAAAGAAGATTGATCAGACCCCCGTTATGCGGACATCGTTCGCGCGAAACGGAGGCAATTATACCACGATACTCGGTATACCGTGTGTATAATATATATATGCGCAAGTCCACTCACAAACCAACATGACATGCAACCAGTTGTCTTACGTATACCCTTTGACATTGTATTCGCAAAACAATGATGATCATCTCGCGCTCAAGGTGTATATGTGTATGTGTGTACATGTATGTGTACAACTAGCCCATTATTCTAATAATATTCTAATATATGTCGCGCATGTGTGTGTGTGTGTGTTGAAGAAAAACGTGGCAAGAAGAGAAGGTACACCGAGACGGTGCATCGCGATACGCGCGCGCGACAGAATCAAGATCAACTTCACGAGAGAGAGCATCTCTCCCCCTCCTCTCGTCTTTTCTCTCTGTCAGCTTCCGCGGGCGTCCGCACGCCACGAGAATAGGCTACACGGATAATGGAAATATTGGAAGCTTATTATTGACATGGCAGTGCGAGATACAACAGTCGTCTACGAACGGAATCAGCGGAGGATACCACCCCTGGTGAAGCCGATGCTCGATTCACATAGTAGTAGTAGTAATAGTAGTAGTAGTAGTAGTAATAGTAGTAATAACAATAACAACAACAACACCGTCCTGTCCGCGTATCGATGATAAATCCTCGTCGAGCTACACTATCACAAAGTATTAGGCCGCAAGCCAGCTTGGAGAGAGAGTGAACACCGCCGACACCAAAGTTAAATCACAAGCCGTGAAAGTGTACAACAAGGTCGGCGTGTGCTTCCCGCTTTCTTCTGTACCCCTCTATCCCTCCTCCCTCCCCTCGCCTTGATTTATCGGATCGCCCTCGCTACGCCCAAAACCAATCGGATTAATGCACACAGTCGTTATTACCAAATGAGATAGAAAAAGAAAACGTGTACCGTTCGTCGCACAAATCAAGTACGCCGGATACGTCGATTACTTTCGTACTGTCGTTGTTTCATATTTTTTTTTTTCTTTTTTGGCACGTGCGCGTGCATAAGAGTGTGTGTGTATATGTGTGTCTTTATGTGTTTGCAAGCACGACTCGTGGCTCCAACGGATCCCGTTTCCTGCTAATTCACGTATATTAGCCCTCTAGTTCAAATCGAAGCTCGTATGTCACAATCCGTGAGAGGGAAAGAGAACGACGAGTCCGCGACGAGACCGGTTACAGGCGAAGAGCTCGCCTCGGAACGATCGGCGAGCGGACTCGATCACAATCGACGCGTAGATTGTAACATACATGCGCCAAGAAAATAGTTGCCACGTGTGTACAAAAGAAATCTATCAAAACCTCTGAAGAGGTCTCTCTACAAGGTATACAACATTGGAGGGAATGTTACTTATCGCTCTAATAAAAGGTTCCTATCAAAATAGATAGATATATATATATATATATAAAACATATATATTTTTATATAAATATATATGTGTGATTATCTGTATGTGTGTACATATATATGTATACACACATGTATATGTATATGCAAGGTGAACCATGCAACATGATCAGCTTAGTTTATTCTGCTGTAAGCGGGTCGCTTGAACATTTTTTTCTAGTAGAACATGATTCAAGATGAATCTTAGGATAATCTTAAAGCTCACCTCGAACTGTGTTACACTAGACAAACAAATGTTCAAGCGGTTCACCAGCGGCAGAAATTAACCCTTATCGGACGCTAGCTTTTTATGCCTGATTCTCACTAGGTTGCAGCTGGTTTCGATAAATATGCGAACTTGTCATCTCCCACGTGACGTACGACCGCAGCGACGAAGTATTGTTGTCACGTGAGAGGTGACTTACGACCGATAAGGGTTAAGCTGATCATGTTGCGTGGTTCACCCTATATATATACACACATATGTATGTATGCGTGTGTATGTATGTGTATAAACGAGTGGCTGTTTTCCCGGTTGTACCGATCTGCAGCCACTTTTTGGAACAATTATTACGAATATTCTAACCGCATACTTCTCACCGCGTCAATATTGACGTATCGAACACCAAAATCAAAGAGCGGAAATCGAGTCGAGCCTGGGGTACGATCGAGTCTCGACGCCCGGCATGCCGGGAATGGACGAGCCCGTGATCAAGAGTACCTGAGAGATGGGAATTTTTTGAATGGAGGATATTCTAATCTTCCATCGGAATCCAGAAACAACGCGTATATACTTCGGGACAATCGTCACAGTGTAACACACGCGTGTCTGTCGTGTGTAATTTCGAGGAACCGGGTGTTTTCCCGAGTGTTCATCACTCGTCGGGGGGAAGGCACAATTGCGCTCACGTAACGGAGCAAACGGTTTTGTTTTTTTTTTTCATTTCATATTACATGATCCGACGATACGACGTCTCAGTTATTCTACGGAAAAACGCGTGATTATACCCAAGATAAGCGTGTGTGTGTGGACACGCTATATAATATATAATATATGTGTAGAATTACATCCTACTATATCAAACTTAACATACTTGTCGGCGTTTTACACGCCGTCTATATTCAAACGAAGGTAAATTAAGTCGTTTCGCAAATTACGCGTTAAGTACCGTTGCTAACCGTACGTAAGTAACGGCCATATTTGTACGAGGCGTTTCCAAACGTTAAGGCATTACATACACACAAGTTATTCGTCGTAACGGCATTCACGATTCCTCTCATTAGTTACAGCGTTCGGACAGAAGACATTAATCGTGAACGACGATGAAACGCAACGAGAAACATTTCGGAAACATCTTTTCTTCGTAAAAAAATCAAGGTCGCCTTGACTTTTTTTTAATTCTAACAGAACCATGTATCTTTTTGTTATTGAAAAGATGTAGAAGGGATCGGGACAAATTCACTAGTGACTTATAATGTTATTTTTCTTGACATTTAAAAATTGGAACAAACACAGGGAAACTCTTAATGTTTTAGCATGTCCCGGCAAGACCACCATTATCAAATCAAACCGAGATATTACGAGCTTTCTGTTTCTTTCTTTCTTTACCTTCTTTTTTTCCCATTTTGTTCATTAATTTCATTGGTTTGTGTATGATTAGTCTACAATTTGTTATTTTTATTGTTGAAAAGATGCAGAGAAGATCAAAACAAATTCAATAGTGACTTACAATGTTACTTTCATGGACATTTAACGATGAAGAAGAAACATTGGAAACTCGTGATTTTTGGTTTGTCCCGGCATTATTAAGACAAACCCGAGGACACTGTTGTGAGTTTCCTGTGTTTTTCGTTCCACTTAGCTTCGCTGATTTGTGCACGATTGGTCTACAACTTGTTCACTGTCCGATCCCTATAACTGATGAAGAAATCGCGGATACCGGATCACGACGGACATAATCCTGTTGTGTATCTCCCAGTCGGGGTAACGTAACTTCCAAGTTTGCCATCGCCAAGTAACGCATCACGAAGTACCGTTTCGTCAAGAAGCTCGCGCTCGGAATATAAAACGGAATGTCGTGAACACCGCGAGAATGGTGCACAGCTTCTCGCTTCTGAGAATGTACGTGGGGGGGACCCCGCCGCCGTATATCGGCGAGACGATTACACCGAGCTGACGAATCATCAAGTATAGCAGCGTGTTCCGAAGTATGATGAGGAACAGCGAACAATATATATATAAAACAAAAA